CTACATAAGCCTTTATTCCTCTCTAAATTCGTCAGTTTGTGTCACCCCCACCCCTCCGGATGATAGCTATAAAGTGGCGTGCACAGTTAGTAGTAAAGATGGTTATCTATTGTCAGTTATTAATACAAGTGGATTCACTCTTATTAATCATTAATTGAGCTGGCAAATGTATTTTTCTTCTATATATTTTGCAATTTTTCGTCATGGTGTCACCCGGTGCGGTCCACCCCCCCCCCCTCTCCGCTCGCGACGCTTATGCGTCTTGAACTTATCCATTATACTGGGATAATTGTGAACGAGACTACCCACTTCCAAATAACTGGATGTGTCGCTAATGTTCATAAGGTCGAATTCTAGAAATATTTGTTACGGGATGGCATGATCGAATGGTTAAGCGCTCGACTGGTTATCCGTAAGTCTCAAGCTCGGATCATAGGATCGGGTTCGTAGGATGTTCTAGAGTACACTTAGCTCTGATGAGTACCTAACTTACGTTAGGAAAAGTAAAGGGGGCTGGGCATAGTTCAGACCTCACTATCCCTTCATATGCTGAGGTCAAGCAGGCGAACTCTACTGCGCCTGCCCCGTGAAACTGCTAGGTTTGAAATGAGACTTTAATTGAAAATTCAATAGAAAGTCGTTCTATTTAAACCCTGGAATATTTAAAAGACAAAATATTCAGTTATCCCCCTTTCTTGGTGTACCAGGCACTATCACTCGAATGGTGAGTATCGATATAGGGAAATGTGATTTTTTTTTTTAAAGGCGCCGCCTCATGTCAAGCCAAAACAATACAACGGAGGGGTTGGATTACACCATTGTTTATTTTTCTTGAATCAGCTAGCAATTAAGATAAAATGGCGACCACAGATAGCCACTTTTACATATGTTTGTTAAGAATGTTTGCTTGCTCCACAACATAGCGACAGCTACATTTTAAAACTGACTTTGCTGGCATTAAAAAATGTTGCAAAATGTAATTACATTTTCTTTAAAAAAAAAAATTCTAAATAAAAATACTGTTAGTAATACTGTTTGCGTTTAGAGTTTAAGTAGACGAAACTGATCAAATGCAGTTATATATTTATAATATTATAGGTTATCTAGATCTGATTAGTGTAGATCAGTGGTCTCCAAACTACGGCCCGCGGGCTAGATGCGGCCCGCGAGATCTTTTTGTCCACGGAATAAACCTTTGTTGGTGATGGCTGAGGAACTTTGCCCAGAAAAATCAAAGACATGCCTGGAAGAAACTGGCCCTTGAACTAAAATTTGATAGTTGATGCGGCCCTCTGACTGAAAAGTCTGGAGACCCCTGGTGTAGATTCTAGATTCTCTGTTTAGTAAAAGATGAAGTAGCAATAGATCTAGTACAACGACACTACTGTAGCAAACGTGAGACCACTTAACTCCCACAAAACCCACACTACAACGGCTAATATTATAATTCATGGGTAATAACCACTGCTGTTCTTAGATCTCAGCCAATCTGGGTAGCATGTTATACAATTTTAGACCCTTATAATCCAGGAGGGAAGTGATCAGACACATTAATACTAATGTTCAACCCTCATGATGGCCAGCCCCCACCTTTTTCTAGCCCACAATAAAACCAAAGAGGAGTCAGTACCACTGCCCTCCCCTGAAAATTTCTCACCTCCGTGATACCCAGCCCCACTGAGATAGTATCTCTTATATAATGTATGACCCTCGGGGCCCAGCAGGGAGAACAAAGGGAAAGTCCCAGTTCTCTCCCCTCAACATTTCTCACCTCGATGTCATGTTACGTCATTTATAGCACAGGGGAAAGCATTAAGGCAGATTAGTTAGTACCATCCCTTTTTACATCCAAGAATCTGTACAGCTACACACTAGTATACTAGCTACACACTAGGTGCCTACTGTAAACTACTAGACTGTAGGCCCTTTGTAGACCTGCAATTGCATCAATTGTAGACTGGGTCCATTGTTATTATTCTAAACCATCTCACTTATAATGTTTTTAGCTTGATTTGTTTCTTTTATAAACAGTGGATTTAACAAAAAAAATTAGCCTAATCATTAAACAAATAATAATAATGTGGTTATTTGTTGTTGGCTGGTATGATCTAGATTCTACTACTAGGCTACATACACTTAGTAGACTAATTACTAGATATGCATTTGAATTTAATTAAACTCAGTCCAGTACCAGATACATATTACTGTAAAAAGACACAAAGTAGGTAGGCCTTAGTAATGTATTAAAACCTTATACTACAATAATATCAACTACATGCTTGTATAAACTTTTTAAAATTTAATTAAAGTAGCATGAGAGACATGAAAATCGACAATTCGTAATTTGCAGGCCTTTGTGCACGTTATTTCAAGAAAGTAATACGTCTTTAAATGTGAAGAATGTACTGTTACAGAGCTGGTCTTGGGTCTCTGACACACTTTCTAGCACACAAAAGATATAGGTTAGGTAAGGTTTGCCTGTCGTCCCTACTGGGACATATGCAGCTGATAAGAGCTTACCAGGAGTCTCTTTCCTGGGCTAGTCTCTCCAACTGTCCCCAAAAGATATGCTCTATAGAAAATGTAGCACATTTACGTACCTTCGTGTCACCATAACACACAATAGTACGCATTAACTGCAAGATAGACTGTATCAATAACGTGTTCACAATACTACCTCCACGAAGAAAGTAAAAACAAATTTTATCGCAGATTAAACAGTCAGTGGAATAGATGAAGTAGAGTTCATCTGGCCGAGGTATATAAATGGATAATGTAGTCGGCAGTAGGTCCAGACTCTTTTTCTTGACACCCATAGGCCTGAGTGGCATCATTGACCTCACAAGAACCGTCAGCGGAGCGAAGTTTAGACAACACTGTTCCAAAGAGTAAAAATTTGAAAGCGTTTTGGGGCATTTAGAGGTTCTTAGATTAAATTTTTAAAAACTATTTAATATAAGGGAGTCTAATATTTTCAAATGTGTTCGTAATCAATTTCATAAATTTGAATATGTTATCTTATTCTTCAAAGTTAAAACAAAATAACTAAAAAACGTTTTTCTTTGTTTACAGATTTTTATTTCATTTGCCACCAAAGCTTCTATAAGGCATATATGTGTGTGTTGTTGTTTGGTGTTTGTATCAGTTTATATGACTGTGTGTATTAGAGTATAAAGACAACATGAGCTACAACTTATAGAACAGTACAAGTGTTTGATTACGTATTTTGTTTACTAAATTTTATGTAACATCTAATAGCACTACTACATGTGTTATAGCACGTTTACATAATGTTACAATTATGTTATAATTATTAGATTACACAGTATAAAAACAATAATGAAAGCTGATAATTATGCTAAACAAAGCACATCAATATTTAATAATCAACAAAATTGTATATAAAATAGCTTGTTAAATAATGTAATACTGCTGACATAAAGCATTAAGTAATTTTTTTTTTAAATGGAAATATGCAGTCATTGTTTTGGGTATATCTTTCTACTGCTGAAAGTTAAAATTATGTGAGAACACCTAATACATTCTTTACTCGAGGTGTTTCTCTGAGACCTGCTCTGTCACATCCGATGGAGACAAATGTCCAGGATAAAAGTTCTCCCACTCAAAACCACTGAAGTTGTGGCCATCACAAGAACCACTGTGAGGGTGTGTCGTCCAAACTTTTTCTTTCCCCAAAATGTAAACAGGCGCCCCTGAGCTACCCGGACACGTACAGGTTGTGTACGTGTACTTGGTGTAGGCCGTTCTGTTGCAGCGTTGTTTTACTTGCCGTTTAATCCACTTCCCCACGGTCACATACTTGGGGTAACCGTGTGGGTGGGATACCAGAATAGCGAGATTTTTTTCAGACAAAGACTTATACATTTTGTTTATCTTACTGTGAAGCTCGGTGAAATAAAAAATCGCTTTAATGAGTTTCGATATAATACTCAAATCGTGTGTGTAGCAAATCAATTCGCATCGATCAGATTTAACATCAACTGTAGCTCTTCCCCCTTTAGTCACCACCTTTGTTCCAAATATTTCAAAGCTGCAGGTTGTTTGTTTCGCTTCTTCGTTGTTGAAAACAACATGAGCAGCGGTGATAATTTTTATTTCACCCCAATTGGTTTCTGGAGTTTTGGATTCTGAACATAAATCGCAAAGACAATGTCTAGAAACAGTGCCTGTTTTTGTCTCTGCAAATCTGATTTTACCTGAACCAGTGGTAGTTCCTACAAAATGTAAATATTTATGTTCAGTATCTGGGAAAAACTTGGGTCTTAAAGAACTACAGGTATCTACTCTAATTAACACAATCAACTTGGACAAGGCTTCCACCAGACGAAGCAAGCCTTGATTCCCGTATCCTTCCGGTAAATGTCTGACTCCAAATTGTTCCAGGGGAATAAAGTCCTTGTGGTCTGGGTTTTTTTTACATGATGTATTCTTGTGTAGGTCGATTTTATCATTCCCTGAACCTAAAATTAATAGCATAGTTGTGTTTTTCGATGCAAGCGGTTGAAAAGGGTTGACCTTAATCAAAAGCACTATGCATATATTTGCTTTATTGGAAGATAACCAGTCAAATTTATAAAATAAACAAAATATGAAATGACATTCATTACATTTTTTAAAGCATAGTTTGCTTAGTTATTGTATAAAGTATTTAAACGATAAGTTTGAAGTATATCTAACTTACAATGGCTACTACTAAAGCAGGGGGCTGTCTTCAGCAGATTACACATTGTAACGTTGGTATTTGTAATAAAACTAAACATGTGAAAACTAAATCCAACGTACCAAACGATAAATCAAATGTAGGCTCTAGCTGTTTTTCAATGACTCCTGCAGGAGTAAAGTTATCTACCTGTAAGGTAAAATAATAAGAAATTTGATTGAATCAATATGACCATATTTCACACGATATGTTTAGAAAGATGCCATTATGTCAAATAATCCAATGCAATATTTCTATTTGTATTTCTAATTGCACCCTGTCTTCTCGTATGTTTTCATTGACGAATTAAATTTTAATTATTTGGTTCTTGGAATAACCTTCATAACTAATTATTTAAATAAAATATGAAATCATTTGGAGTTAGAAACATCTTCCTTTTGTTATGAAACAAAATGAAGTAAGATGCTACAGATAATATATGCTAAACCAATCAACTTTCTCATATTCACCTTAGCATCAGATTTCTTGACACCCCTGTTTCTCTTTTTGTGAGGTGGTTCCTGGTGCTCTGGACTTGACACACCTAATTAGGAAATTAAAATACAAGAGATGTACTGCAACCATATATATTACAATGACTAATTACTTCAAGCATTTTTAACCGAGTATGACTTTTAATTTACATTGTCTTTTCAAGTTAGCAATTCTCTTTTTAAATTTGCTTTAATGATTTTAAATATACTTGTGATGATAAGTAAAATGTATCATCCAAACTGTGGCTATCTATAAAACAAATCCTAACTCCAAACATTGCACCACCTACATTACAACTATAGTTGGTCTCATTGATTATCTTATCATAAAAGATATTACAACTTATGTCACTAACCGTTTCTTTTACCGAGCCCAGTGGTTTTGTTAGTGATGTCTTTTAATACAGATGTCGTTGTTTGTTTCATTTCGACTGCTTTGAATATTTAAGAACTAGGAGTGTTTGTTTGGGTACCTTCTGTAACGGAGATTACATGTTTTTAATCTATTATATCTATAGCATATTTAATATCTATATCATCTATATCATATATATCCTCTGTATCAAATATATCATCTGTATCATGTATATCATGTAGGCCCTATATCATGTATTTCATTTATATTATGCATACCATCTATATCATTTATATGTCTATAAATCTATATATCTATCAGTGTTTCTTTCAGACTTTTTTTTCTCGGGGGGGTGGGGGTGGGGGGGGGGGGTGGGGGGATGACCTGGACATTTCGGGGGAGGCGGGCAAAATTTTCCAGGGGGGAGGGGAACACTGGTTAAAGTATATGTTTTCCATATAAATTATGTTTCGTTCGAATAGACGTCTGGAAGAAACTCTGATATTTATCTGTTTATCTGTATAACCATATATTTGTATATCTATATATCTGTATATCTATACATCTGTACATATATCCATCTATACATCTGTACTTCTGTACACCTATACATCTGTATATCTATACATCTATACATATATCTATACATCTATAGAAAGATATGGATATAGATATACAGATATAAAGATCTGTATATCTATATCCATCTTTATTAAAACGTTTTTAAAACGTTTTTCTTAACTCAGCTTCGCGTTTGTTTGTTTGGATGTTTGTTGTTAAAATTGACATCGAAAATTAGCCCACTTCTGATTGCTCTAGAGACCTGAAATTTGGCATGCATGCTACTTTCGCCTAACAATTTCAGATGCAATCATAAAAACTAGCAATTAGTGACCGTAATTAGCTTAATTTAATTACGCCCCAAGGACCATAAAATTGAGGACATGATTTCTAAAGATACCGACAAGACTAGAGGCCTATTGACACAGTTACTTCGGCCCCAATCGATGTGAGCGCGCTGGCCGTGATCGTATAGTGGTTAGTACTTCGCGTTGTGGCCGCGACAACCCAGGTTCGAATCCTGGTCGCTCAAGATTTTTAGTCCGTGTATTTATAAACACTTTTTTAAAAACCACGTTTTTCATGTGTAGCAACGGACTAAAAAGGAGAAAATAAAATACTTAAAAAAAAACTTTTTAAAAAACCACGTTTTTCTTGTGGACTAAAAAGTAGAAAATAACTATTTACATACATTTGATGACAAAAAACGTGGGTCGGGCAGATGGGTCGGGAAATTTGATGGTGAACGTACCCACGTTTTTTGTCATCAAATGTATGTAAATAGTTATTTTCTACTTTTTAGTCCACAAGAAAAACGTGGTTTTTTAAAAAGTTTTTTTTTAAGTATTTTTTATTCTTAACTCAGCTTCGCGTTTGTTTGTTTGTTTGGATGTTTGTTGTTAAAATTGACATCGAAAATTAGCCCACTTCTGATTGCTCTAGAGACCTGAAATTTGGCATGCATTCTACTTTCGCCTAACAATTTCAGATGCAATCATAAAAACTAGCAATTAGTGACCGTAATTAGCTTAATTTAATTACGCCCCAAGGACCATAAAATTGAGGACATGATTTCTAAAGATACCGACAACACTTGAGGCCTATTGACACAGTTACTTCGACCCCAATCGATGTGAGCGCGCTGGCCGTGATCGTATAGTGGTTAGTACTTCGCGTTGTGGCCGCGACAACCCAGGTTCGAATCCTGGTCGCTCAAGATTTTTAGTCCGTGTATTTATAAACACTTTTTTAAAAACCATGTTTTTCATGTGTAGCAACGGACTAAAAAGGAGAAAATAAAATACTTAAAAAAAACTTTTTAAAAAACCACGTTTTTCTTGTGGACTAAAAAGTAGAAAATAACTATTTACATACATTTGATGACAAAAAACGTGGGTCGGGCAGATGGGTCGGGAAATTTGATGGTGAACGTACCCACGTTTTTTGTCATCAAATGTATGTAAATAGTTATTTTCTACTTTTTAGTCCACAAGAAAAACGTGGTTTTTTAAAAAGTTTTTTTTAAGTATTTTATATATATATATATATATATATATATATATATATATATATATATATATATATATATATATATATATATATATATATATATATATATATATATATATATATAAATCTCCAGAACCAGATTGTTTTATCAATTTTTCTCTTAGTTTAGGGGTCGTCCATAAATGACGTCACACTCTTAGAGGGGAGGGGGGGTGGTCCGTAATTTTGTGACGGTGTGTGATGAGGGGGGGGGGGTCAGATGGTACGACGTCACACTATTGCATTATAAAAAAGCAATGTTATAAAACGTATTTTAGACGTTATTTTGCGTTTTAGAAAACTGTTTTAAAAAATTGTAATAGGAATTGATTAAAATACTCTATTTTGAGTTCAGACAAGATTTTGGAAAAATATCGATGTTTAAAAAAATTCAACTGCAATTTTGAGGGGGGGGGGGGGGTTGTAGGCTAAGGTGTGACGTCATTTAGGGGGGGGGGTCTGCCTTTTTGTGACAATGTGTGACGAAGGGGGGGGGGGGGGGGTAAAAATCGTCAAAAAAAGCGTGACGTCATTTATGGATGACCCCTTAGAAATAGTAATGCGAAACATCAGGACAAAAAATTCGTGTTATTACACAACAATTCAATTTCATTACTAAAAGAATATTAAAAGAACACATTAAGCCTAACTTAGTAGGGCCTATTTATTCATGGTTCAAATATGTATAATTGGGAAATAAGAATGATTTAGGCCTACTAAAATTCACTTAATTAATTTCTAAAATTGAGTGCTTTTAGCAAAGACTCGGAATTATACATGAAACCAACATTCATTTAATTTCATAATTCAACAAAAGGTTTAACAGATATGCTAATATGCCAGTAGCGTACGCAGGGGGGGGGGGGGGGGGGAGCAGGGGGAGCGGCCGCTCCCCCTCTGGCCATTTTTAACAAAGTGGCGCCTTTTTGGAAACTTTTTAAACTCAAAGTTTTAAACATTGATATTTGTTAAAAAATTATCTTTGGTCGGCACATTTGAAACGCAAATCTCTGTGAATATTGTTTTTTCAATAACCAGTAAAAGGTGTGTGAGCAATACAGTGATCTAACCCATACCTTCACATTATGTTAAAAAATTATCTTTAAAAAACACAAAAAGTCACTAGCTATTTAAAAAGTGCATGATCTAAAATGTAAGACCGATATTTTAGTTATATGTAGGCTATTATTACGAAAGTTTTACTTCAATTGTGAGAAGCTGGGTTTTATACCAACTCTGATTTAAAAAACTTTCATTATGCTGAAATACTCTTGCATTTATAATGACAATATGTTGAATTCTGATTTTAGACATATAATTTTTGTAAAATCGAATAGTGTTAAGCTATTATATTAGAATATAAAGTAATTATTGATTTGTTTTGATATTTATAATAAAATGTGTAGACATATACATATTTATATTAAGACATTGATTATTTTCCCTTTTCGCTAGTCTTAATAGATGTCCCAGGAATTATTATGTAATTTATTTTACAAGAATTACGAAACAGATTATGCCGCGTTCATTGTTTTTGGTTGTAGTGTTTATATATATATATATATATATATATATATATATATATATATATATATATATATATATATATATATATATATATATATATATATATATATATATATATATATATATATATATATATATATATATATATATTTGTTTTTTTTGTTTTTTTGTTTAGAGTGATACCATATTTTTTTGTTTCGTCGGCCTACATTGTGTGTTTTTTTTTAATTTCTTCCGAGTGCTTATTTAAATTTATTTTACATCATATCGAAGCAATAACATACAGCATATATATATATATATATATATATATATATATATATATATATATATATATATATATATATATATATATATATATATATATATATATATATATATATATATATATATATATATATATATATATATACTTATATAGAAAATATTACAAATTCGGCGCCTTTTTTTGCTATTTCCGCTCCCCCTACAACGAAAACGTGGATACGCCTCTGTAATATGCGTTTTGTTTTATTACGAGAAATTTTTTTTAAGTTTGTAGGATAAAGTGTAAATCTAATAGTTTACATATTTCAGTTTCTGCCGAGCCAAAACCCATCGGTTCCTGAATAACGGTGAAAATTACTTATTTCTACTCTTTAATTGTGTCCCCGTTTTAAAAGTCGCGCCACGACACAATAAAATCTACATTTATTGACTAGAATTCGTACCTATTTTAATTTTAACGATTTGAGTGATTTTATTTATTTAAGACAAATCAAGTAAAACTATTAAAGTAACTAAATGTGAGGAATCTATGTTTAAAATATACTTTAAAGCTTACTTTAAATATTAGTAAACCTCTTTCCTTGAAACAGCTGCAGACGCCTAAAGTAGGTCAGCATCGATTCTGGACCAAAGCACTCACATCACAACAAAGCGAATATCGTGCGTGTGTAACCGTTTTTTCGGGTGTGTAGCCGTACATCCAAAACATCCTGCCGTTTGTGCATGTGCCGATAGCGGTTTCGTCACACATTGTGAGGTGCTGTGTGGTGGTTAAACTTATAGCGGGAGATTCAAGGGAAGCCACTCTATTTTACTAATAGCTGCTGTTTATATAGCAAATATTGCTCGCAAACACTGCTGTTTAACGTTAATTTCTGGCCTATTTTGCTATATTTAACCGTTGATTTTGGTTTATTATTCAATTATCTATAATATTTGGCACAAATATATCTATCACAATATGCTTCTATTAAAACCTTAACAATGAGGCAACTTTGTCGCACATTACTAGCCTCTGCTGATTTTACGTACCTAAATCAATAGATTACCAAGTAAAATTCCCTTTCAAGCCTGATGGTCTATACATAGCAAATGGAATTCCTAATATGCTTTTATTGGAAAATGAAGTTGGAAATTGAACTTATTTCTTTTGTATGAATTGTGTTGTGTTCATCTTGTAAATAATCATTATGCATAAAAATATGCATTTCTCAGTCATATTGAGCCATGTACATTCATTTTGTTTTAATTTCAGTGAAGAATAAGTGGTATTCAGTAAAATAAATTCTTTGTTTTCATTTATTTCTAAAAAAAAAAAAAAAAAAAAAAAAAAAAAAAATGGTCTATAGGGCAAGTGTAGAGTTCACTTGTTTCTGTGGCCTCGGTTTATGAAGAGATGGTGTGGTCAGCACTATCCCTATGCCCAGTCGCCTTTACTTTCCTTAACATGAGATAGGTACTGATCAGAGTTAGAAAAGAGTAGCGATAGTTAAAATTGAGCTATTGACAGGATTTATTTTTCTTTTATACCATAATTGTTTGTTTTTGTATTATTATTCAGGGCTGTCTGGTTTATCAAAGCGGCCCGGGAAATAAACAAAGGTAGCACTGACTGGACATACATTTTCAGTGCTTAATTTTTTTTTCTTAACCGCCTTTTAAATTTATCATTATTTAAGAGTAAAATTTAGTAAGAGTTTTAACAATTTCTTTTTTAACTTTATTGTTAATATTGTATAAATGTAGAGTTCATATTTTGCTCTGCTCTGATCTCAGCATACAGAACACGTTAAAAAATAATGTAAAATTACGATACTTTTATCATGCACATAATTGTACATTGCAAGCCTTGTTTGTCAAAAGAAATTTTATTTAAAAAATGATCGATGGATTAAAAGTTAGTCAATGAAAAAAAAAATTGCTGTTTTTTTTCATGACAAAAGTTACATATTTGGATAGTTGTCATGCATCTTCATTTCAAAATTGGTTAAAAGTAAGGCACTACACATTATAGCTTAAAAATTGTTAAGCTTGAGAAATATGACAGTCGTACAAATGTTTTTGCTTTTACAACTTTTAAATACAGTTCATCACCTGCATCTAATTCGATAACAGTTACATCAGTAGCAGTTGAATGAAAACAGTTAACAGTTACAACTGTACAGTATTCGTCACCATCTTCTCCCTCCTCAATTTTTCTAGCTGTTGCTGAAGTTTTACGAGGTGATTGGCAGCAGACATTGACCTGTACATTACCAACATTCTTTTTTTTAGGTGAAATGGTTAGACTGATGACATAAAGTCCAGATTGGCTGAGATCTAAGAACAGCAGTGGTTATTACCCATGAATTATATTAGCCGTTGTAGTGTGGGTTTTGTGGGAGTTAAAGTGGTCTCACGTTTGCTACAGTAGTGTGGTTGTGTTAGATCTATTGCTGCTAAATCGTGTACTTAACAGATAATCTAGAATCTACATTAACCAGGTCTAGATAACCTATATATGATCAGATTCGTCTACTTAAACAGTATTGTTAACAGTATTTTTATTTAGAAATTTCGGCCACATATTTATATTATCCACGAAACCGTCAATAACAGTAAAAGGATCTTCAATTCCTAAGAGTTCAAGTTTTTAAACGTATTTTTCCTTTTCCACGGGTGCGGTTCTTTACATACAGTGAACGCGTCCAGCACTGGTGAACAGCTGATTGTGTTTACGTCTGATGTATACCACCGTGGCGGCGGACGTAAGTATCACGTGATTTAGGTCACGTGTTTGCAAGGACTCTATACTGTACTGTACAAAACGTATAATTTCAATTTTATTTTTAGTGGTGTGGGTTTAGGGGTATATAACAAGAGCTGAAATAAATTTTGGATTAGAGGAAAATAATATAAAAATATCATAAGCTTTTATGTAGAGTAAAATGAGACACATAAAACGTTCTTCCTTTCTAAACAATCATATCCATAGCAGAGTCCTCCTACAATGAATCTTTTGTTTTTATATTAAAATTTGTTTTAAGGTATAAATTTAATCACGATACAAGTAAACACCTTTAATCCAAGAAACTTTTGAGACGTTTAAAGTGAAGAACAAAGTAATCCACATTATTTTTCTTTAGATTTTATAACATGTGAAAATGGAGTATTTTCCAAACTCGAAATCCTTATCAGCTGCTGTAACTTTTAAAAATAATTTGTTTCCTTTTTCTAATACGTAATGAGCTGTGTAATGGTTTCTGCCACCAGATGTGTCCAAACCAAATATTGTTATGATGTCTGTTTCCTCATTTTCGTCGCTATCAAGTCCCAGGTCGTCATCCATATCGCTTTCAGGGGAACCATCGAAGTTTGCTACACGAACTAATTCTATTTGTACGTCATTAGTGAATTGTCTGTAAACACTTAAACTAATACAGTAAATCCCATCTGACGGTACGGTAAACTCGCCACTGCTGGGATCAAAATGTCCGCCATGATTGAAGTAAACGTCGGCGAACTCTCTAATCACTCCGGTGCTGACTCTCATGTCGGTCAAAATCATGGCGCTAAATCCTACACGAGTGATTTCGTGCGATCGCTCTGAGTAAAAATGAATAAAAACGTCGTTAAACTTTTTTTTTAACAAAAAGTTATTACAATAATTCTTATATCATTTCTGTGTTATATCTTCTACTCAGACACGGGGAATACTCGTTTTAATGCAGAGAAGTAAGCTCTGAGTTAAGAACATAAAATCAATTATTTTATGCTTTACATGCCTCACTTCCAAATTTATACGACAAAGCTGAAAGCAATTTATACTTTTTCGTAGTAACTTTTATCAGATCATCAGTGTGAATCTCTTTCTTTTCATCTCATAATTTAACAGTTTACAATATTAAAACTTGTAAAAATTGTTACAAAAGGATAAAATTAATTATAGAATATTTATAAATTAAGCATCAACTTGGAGAACAAATACAAACTATAAGTAGGCTAATGCTAATATGAATGCGTCAAAACGTACTTACCTAATTCGTGTAATCTCTCATTTAACTAAAACAAACAAATGCACACAATTAAAAAAAAACATTAAAAAGTTCTAAATATTCATGCACACTCATCAAGCCTTACCTAACAAGGGGGATAAACACTTTAACTATTATTAAATAAAAGAACAAATTCAGTATTTTAAAAATTTACCTGAAGGAAAGTTTCACCCTTGGATAAAGAGAGTTTCGATAAAACATCATTTACATACTCTAAGCTTTTAAATCTCTTGGCAAGCATTTGGCACATAGTTCCACACTGTTAAAGATAAATGTAGTACATACAGTTAGAAGAAAAAAAAACCGAAAATTACATTTCAAATTGTCAGATGATATAGCAAAAATAACTTTTTATGTAGTAAAATTAATTCTTTTAAGATTTGATATTTATTTGAGAGAATACATTGAAAGCCAACAGGTGCGTTACCTTTAAATCAACATTAGTATGTTTTTGATCAATAGTCTCAACATGTAAACCTAGTTGAATTTGCTTTTCAGACAGTTGTTCGTTTGACACTTCAAAATTATTTGATTTGATGATGACTCTGTTAACTTTATTTTCCAGTATGTCTATTTGCTTTTTATTGTCATTTGCAGAGTCCCTTGCATTATTAACACAGCTCCTCATGTCCTGCATCTGTTCAGTAATTTGCTTTGTCAACTCATTTTGTTCATCAATCTTATCAGTCAGAGTTTTCTTCTCAGATAACTGCTTTGTTTCAATATTTTGTAGCCTGTCATGTAAAGCATGGATATTTTCTTGTATCAAACGATGATTTCTTTCAATCAGATCAGACGCCGAGTCAAGTTTTTGTTGAAATTCTTTAATCAAATCAATGGATACTAAATGATAAATGAACACACACACACACACACACACACATATATATATATATATATATATATATATATATATATATATATATATATATATATATATATAGTTATTTAAATCAATTCGCTAAACATGAATGTCTGTTAACGTTTATAATTAGCCCATACTTTAGGATATCGTAAATAAGTAGAGACATTTACTTTGGACTAAAAAACCTACAATTGGAGGACATTATACAAGGCAATATTGATAATTTAATGCTATTTACCGAGACCTGTCTTATTAAATAAATCGGCAGACTGTAATTGATCTGGTGAAGAATTAACATCTTGACTGGATGAGATACAACTTGCTGTGTTTTGTATCAGTGTTGTTTCTGAGAAACCATTCTCTTCTACGAAAAAAAAAAAAATTAAATGTTATCATCTACAAGTATTATATAATCTTCGCTGACAGTTATGTAAGTATTAAGCTATGAGTAAAATTATTGTTTTCATCTATTTACTTATTATTTTAATGAAATACGTTTAAAAATATTTTTATTTTATTTTGTTTTTCTACTGAAATTTTTATCTTTTCCAGCTAAATAAACGTCGTAACAAAAGTTTCTACAATACAAATATTTAAATATACCCTACAACAACACATTGATGTGTATTTTTTAGCCTTTATAAAATTTAGTCATAAATGTAAACAATACTTTTCTTTTTATCTATAGTTTACTTAAAATAGTAGAAAATCTATCCATATTTTGGCTGTTCGTTTCTTCCAACAGTTGCACGAGTTCCACAAAGTTTTTTTTGTTCCCACTTTCGAAAGTCAAAGAGCTTTTGCATTCTTCAATAGCCTGTTGACAAAACAAATCACTGTTACAATATACTTATGTTAAAACTAATTTAAAACTACTTAAGATTAATGAGTTCTAAACGTTTAATATCTAAACTTACATTTATAATAGAATCCAATGCAGGTGCTAAGACATCTCTTTGATTTTCTAGGCTCTTTAAATAAAAAGCTACAGCTTGTTTTTGTATAGGTGAAAACATCTGTAAGGCGTTCATTTCAATTTTTAAAAATACATCTACATGAATTATATATATATATATATATATATATATATATATATATATATATATATATATATATATATATATATATGCTACATAAATTCTATTCTGTGTGCGTTAGTTCATCAATATCATATCCTACTATGTTTGAGTCAGATCTAGATCTAGGTCATTTTCACAAGTGTTGGTCGTAAGAGTGCCGTTATGCCACACAAAATGAAAGAAATTTATCCGTTTGGATAATTCCCTTTATTGAATCACTGTATTAGTACATTTATCATTTATAGTTTATAGTTATGCTAACAATAGGAACTGGAACTGATGGAAAATATAGATGTCATCGTATAAAAAAAAGGAAAATATTTAAAACATACCTCAATCTGTTTATTTATTGTCTCTGTAAAACCTTAGGACTTTAGTTTCAATTTCAAGACAAGCTGTAGGCTTACCGGGAATTCAGCAAAACAATTGTTATTTTTAGTCTGCGAACTAGGCCTAGTTTCAATAGTATGATTTACACCAGGTACGACAGGTTTGTTCCAATACATGTTAAGTTGAACATACAATTTTGCGAAGCTGGACCTAAAACTCAGTGTTTCTTTCAGGCATATCTTTGGTGGCACCACTTGACCCGTCTACCGACCCTCAACCCGACACTCAACGAATGAAAAAGAATTTATATAGACATTTTATACTTTTAGCAGTGTCCGCTCTTCCCTCATCGGAAAATTTAGTCTGAACCCCCACCCCCTGAGGGGAAATCTTAAATAAACTCTGCTAAAACTGCTCAACGTAAGAAAACTGTAACAGCTTGAAGCGGTAGGAATTGAACCATTGCGTCCCTTACTATTGACTATTTGAAGTAATTGGCAAGATAATACTATCAGCCGACCAGAGGCGTATCCAGGTTTTCGGTTTAGGGGGAGCGAAAATAGCAAAAAAAGTGCCGAATTTATATATATATATATATATATATATATATATATATATATATATATATATATATATATATATATATATATATATATATATATATTAGCTGTATGTTATTGCTTCGCTATGACGTAAAATAAATTTAAAGTAGCACTCTGAAGAAATAAAAAAAAACACACAATGTAGGTCGACAAAACAAAAAAAAAGGTATCAATCTAAACACACACACACACACACACACACACACACATATATATATATATATATATATATATATATATATATATATATATATATATATATATATATATATATATATATATATATATATATATATATATATATATATATATATACTACAACCAAAAACAATGAACGCAGCATTACATAATAATTCTTGGGACGTTAAGACAAGCAAAAGGGGGAAATAATCAATTTCTTAATATAAATATGCATATGTCTACACATTTTATTATAAATATCAAAAACAATATCAAAACAAATCAATAATTACTTAAGAATTTAATAAAGTAGCTTAACACTATTGGTTTTTACAAAGATATTTTGTCTACAATCAGAATTAAATATATTGTCATCATAAATGCTAAAGTATTACAGCATAATGAACGTTTTTTAAATCAGAGTTGGTATAAAAGCCAGCTTTTCAATATGATAGTAAAACAATTCGGAATAATAGCCTACATGTAACTAGAATATCGGTCTCACATTTTAGATCATGCACTTTTTTTTATTAGCTACTGACTTTTTTTGTTCTTTAAATGTAATTTTTTAACATAATGAGAAGGTATAGGTTAGATCACTGTATTTCTCACACACCTTTTACTGATAATTTCAAAAACAATATTCACAGAGATTAACGTTTCAAAAGCTATGATTCTGGCGGCATGGTAGTTTGGTACATCATTACGCGTTTTTCCAAATGCACTTAACAGATCAGTTCGGGGTGGGTTGGTGTGGAGGAGGGTTCAACTTCATTCACAACTGTCCGGTCACTTTAGGTCAATTATCCAACCCAGCGTACACCTAGGTGTGACATTAATGTCGCTCTACACAATTGTGGTGGTGAGGTGGGAGTGGATAACCAACTCAGAGTGAACATAGCGTCAGTTTTTAGATGACTGTTTTAAACATAGGGGTCATCCATAAATGACGTCACGCTTTTTTGACGATTTTACTTACCCCCCTCCCCTCCGTCACACGTCGTCACAAAAAGCCAGACCCCCCCCTAAAATGACGTCACACCTCAGCCTACAACCCCCCCTCAAAATTGCAGTTAAATCTTGTCTGAACTCTGTCAAAATAGAGTATTTTAATAAATTGTTATTACAATTTATTAAAACAGTTTTCTAAAAGGCAAAATAACGTCCAAAATTCGTTTTCTAACATTGCTTTTTTATGATGCAAAAGTGTGACGTCTCACCATCTGAACCCCCCCCTCCCTCTCCCCCTCATCACACACCGTCACACAATTACGGCCCCCCCCCCTCCCCGCTACGAGTGTGACATCATTTATGGACGACCCCATACATATTCAATTATGCATGTATACTGATTCAAAAACAGATTTAAATAAGTAGCGGATAATTAACTGTGCGATCAGTGTTAGTTTAAATTGAGTTGTTGTTTTCTTTAATACAAAATATAGCATTATTCAAATATAATATAGATCTAGATCTAGTAAACTAAAATAATAATTAATAGAAAGTTGATACTGTTTCATATAATTTGTAATCGTAATCAAACTGTCATAATACTACTACTGCATCGTGATGACGTTGTTGACCTTGTGAAAATTTCTGTCCGTATTGTAATTTAAAAAAATAAATTACGATTCAAACTGTATATATAAAGTAATTATGCTTGAAGTTTTATATGTAACATTTTCTAATTCAGTTATTCGTAAGCAAATACATTATACTGTTGCCTTAAACTGAACATCCCTCTTGCCAAGTGGTACTACCCGTAGAGGTTTTTTAAACATTGCAATGCATCGTAATGGTTATTTTTAGAATGACAAACTGATACAGCTGCTAATACGTGTTGTAAACGATGACTGAACTAGTCTATTACTGTTATAATTAATTGCTGCATGAAATAAATCTTGTGATTTGCATAGATGTGCCGACCAAAGATAATTTTTTAATAAATATCAATGTTTAAAACTTTGAGTTTAAATAGTTTCCAAAAAGGCGCCACTTTGCTAAAAATGGCCAGAGGGGGAGCGGCCGCTCACCCTGCTTCCCCCCTACGTACGCTACTGCAGCCGACAGATAACGGAAAAAACCTTTTACTTGCATTAATTTTTGACAAAATTATTATTAATTTAAGCCATCCTTAAGACCCGTTGTAATACGTGCAATTACATAAAGCACCATGCTATTACAAACTTTAGATTACAACCACATGTTTTATAGTTGCTCTTTTCATGCAGAATGTGATGACACAAGTTTTCATGTTAATTTTAACTAGATCAAAAGAGTGGTACAAACAATTGGTCAGATTGATGGCGCCAACCACAAGCGGGGAGGCCAATCACGGCCGATTGGCAAGAGTCACATGACCAGAGAATTCCGAGATGATTAGTTTGTATTAGGTATGACAGCAGTGTTTCTTCCCGACTTTTTCTTCGGGAGAGGGGCGGTAGACTTTCTTTGCCTAATGGTGTTAATTTGTTGCGTACAAGCCAACTATTAATTCATGTGGGAAAAGCAACGTTTTTATCGTAAGTCATTAGATTTTGGTGTCACCCCTCTACTGTCGTAGATTGACTTACTTGTTAATCAAAATAATACATAAGCCTTTATTCCTCTCTAAATTCGTCAGTTGGTGTCACCCCCACCCCTCCGGATGATAGCTATAAAGTGGCGTGCGCAGTTAGTAGTAAAGATGGTTATCTATAGTCAGTTATTAATACAAGTGGATTCACTCTTATTAATCATTAATTGAACTGGCAAAAAGCATTTTTCTTCTATATATTTTGCAATTTTTCGTCATGGTGTCACCCGGTGCGGCCCGACCCCCCCCCCCCCCGCCCGCTCGCGACGCTTCTGCGTCTTATCCTTATCCATTATACTGGGATAATTGTGGATGAGACTACCCACTTCCAAATAATTGGATGTGTCGCTAATGTTCATAAGGTCGAATTCTAGAAATATTTGTTATTGGATGGCATGATCGAATGGTTAAGCACTCGACTGGTTATCCGTAAGTCTCAAGCTCGGATCATAGACTCGGGTTCGTAGGATGTTCTAGAGTACACTTAGCTCTAATGAGTACCTAACTTACGTTAGGGAAAGTAAAGGCGGCTGGGCATAGTTCATACCTCACTATCCCTTCATATGCTGAGGTCAAGCAGGCGAACTCTACTGCACCTGCCCCATGAAACTTTTAGGTTCGAAATGATACTTTAATTGAAAATTCAATAGAAAGTCGTTCTATTTAAATCCTGGAGTATTTAAAAGACAAAATATTCAGTTATCGCCCTTTCTTGGTGTATCAGGCACTATCACTCGAATGGTGAGTATCGATATAGGGAAATGTGATTTTTTTTTTAAAGGCGCCGCCTCATGTCAAGCCAAAAGAATACAACGGAGGGGTTGGATTACACTATTGTTTATTTTTCTTGAATCAAATAGCAATTAAGGTAAAATGGCGACCACAGATAGCCACTTTTACTTATGATTGTTAAGTATGTTTGCTGCTCCACAGCTTGGCGACAGCTACATTTTAAAACTGACTTTGCTGGCATTCAAAAATGTTGCAAAATGTAATTACATTTTCTTTAAAAAAAATTACAAAATCATTGCTCTGGCTGATTAATATTTTATTTTGAATTAAATTTAAGCTATAAATTCATGCTTGAAAAAAGATTTTATATATATATATATATATATATATATATATATGTGTGTGCTTGTGTGTGAACCTAAAATGGCACTTTGATCTGTGTTTGATTGTATATAGAGACTAAACGAGCTAAAACAATTTCACAGGTTTCATTACATGAATGTGATTATGTTCATAAAGCGTGCACATATTTATGAAAAGTACTATGAGTGTCATACTAAACCAATTAAAATTAAATGTACTTGTAGTTATATTATAATAACTACATGGGCATAAGCCACTAGCTTATATTTAAGGGATTCATATTTAAGCCATTTTTAAATTAAAAATCTATCCCAAGAAGCAGGTTACTTAAGATCTTACGTAACTGATATTATCATTCCAAAACAATAGACAGGAGCGACTTTTTAAATTAAAATTGGTCAGAGCAACTCAACACAATATCCTAAGGTGTTTCACAGAAGAGTCAATCTGATGATGCGTTGCTCACACGTTTTCTCTCACTAATTTGTAAACAGTTTTTCTAGTGTATCAAAGCATATCCTTGTATGCGTACAGATAATTGAAAAAATAAGATGAAGGTGTGAAAAATTATAGCGACGCAATAAGCAAAGTTGAAAAGCTACTGAGGAAATAAACAAAGTTTATGATACAGAGAGGCAATAAGAGAAGCAGTAAACTACAAATAAAATTATGTTATTCTGTATCATCATGCAAATAGAAAATTCCGTTTAAAATAATATATCAATAATTTTTTAAAGTGAATTGATTTCATCTGACATAAATTATCAATAAACATCATCATATTGTTAATACTTCAATGCAAATTGAACAGAACAGCTGAACATTGTTTCAGTGGAACCAATGTTCTATCTAGGGTTTTCCTGCTGCAACTGTTGGAGACAAATGCCCTGGGTGATAATATTCATATTCCTCTCCACTAACATTTGTGTTGCCAACAAGACAACCACTGTGAGGATGAGTTGTCCATACATTTTCTTTTCCCAAAATGTAAACAGGCGCCCCAGAGGTACCTTTACATGTACTGGCTGTGTACTTGTACTTGGTGTATGCTGTTCTGCTGGTACGTTGTTTCACTTCTCTGGTTATCCACTTCCCTAATGTGACATGCTTTGGATAACCATGCGGGTGTGAAACTATAGCGACAAATTTATTTTCAGGCAAAAATCTATATACTCTATTCATTTCACCATGTAGCCAGTTGAATCGGTAAATTGCACTTATGAGTTTTGGTATTATATTCAAATCATGCGTGTAGCAAATCAATTCGCATCGATCAGATTTCACATCAACAGTAACTTGTCCTCCTTTAGTTACCACTTTTGTTCCAGATATTTCAAAGCTGCAGATTGTATGTTTCGCTTCTTCGTTGTTGAAAACAACATGAGCAGCGGTGATAATTTTTATTTCTCCCCACTTTCTTTTTGGAGTTTTGGATTCTGAGCATAAATCGCAAAGACAATGTCTAGAAAAGGTGCCTGTTTTATTCTGTGCAAATATGATTTTACCTGAGCCAGTAGAACGGCTAGGAAAACGTAAATATTTAATTTGAGTATCTGGGAAAAACTCAGGTCTTGACGAACTGCAGGTGTTTACTTGGATCAAGACAACCAACTCAGACAAAGCTTTGACCAGGTGCAGTAATCCTCGATTCCTGTAACCCTCAGGTAAATGGCTGACACCAAATTGATCCATGGGAATGAAGTCCTTGTGGCCTGGATTTTTCTCACAACGTGTAAATTTGTGTAGGTCAGTTTTGTCATTCCCTGGATCTGCAAATATTAACATTGTTGTGTTTGTCGATACATTATACCGGTCAATTCATAAAATGTATTAAACTTTAAGTGACATTGTATCATATTATCTTAATCGTAATATTTTTATCATTAATATCTGTATAATGTAAACACTAAAATTTTGGTATTTGCAGCTAAAATTTGAACCACAAAGGCAGAAGATAAATTTGTCATTACTATGTTACACATTTAGACTTTGGTTTTTGTAATGAATAAAAAATGTAAAAATTCCATCCAACGTACTCAAAGATAAATCAGACGAAAGCTTAAGTTGTGGGTCAGTGTTTCCTACAGGGGAAGAGTTATCTACCTGCAAGATAAAAAAAGTATATTATTTTTAAAATGTCTATTACAGTATTTAAAGGATATAATATTTAGAAAATAATCCATGTAGTCCAGTAATCCCATGCAGCAATAATTTGATTTGTATTTATAGATGCATACAGTATATATGTATTTTTTCATTTACAAATTGAGTTTTAAAGTTGTTTGGATCTTGGAATATAGTTCACAATTATTTATTATTTCAATAAAGCATGAAATTATTTCGATGTAGAAACATCTCCGTTTGCTAACAAATAAAATGAAATTAAGTTGTTACAGATAATGTATGTAAAGTCGAGCAACTTTCTAATATTTACCTGATCATCAGATGTCTCGACACCGTTGTTTTTCTTTTTGTGAGGTGGCTCCTGGTACTCTGGACTGGACACGCCTAATTAGGAAATTAAAATTAAAACACGTTGTTGCAACTATTACAGTCAGTCTCATGTTTAACTTTTACAATGCAAAGTTCTTAAATGGCCTGTAACCAAAACGCTTTTAACAGTAAGAGCTGTAGCAATTACAACCATTGCTAATATTTTAACCAACAGATTAGTACGTTAGATTTTTATCCACTGGGTATTTTACAGCACACATCTGTTTTATGTACTATAAAAGTTACCTTATTTATATTTTACATCAAACCATTGTAATTGAAAATGAAAAGTTGCTTAACTTTAACGATCTCCAGTATTTTTAACCGACTATGACTTTTCATTAACAGTTGCTTTTTAAGTTAGCGATTCTCTTTTTAATTTCACTTTAATACTTTTCAGACTACAAATAGGCCAATACATCACATATGAAATGTACTTGTAATAAATAAAAATGCCCGTCCAAATTAGGGCTTTAAAAATAAATTTTAACTAAAAAAGATTGCAACTCCTATTTTTACAACTATAGTTGGTCTGATAAATTATCATAAAAGTTATTACAACTGTTGTCACTTACCGTTTCTTTTAGCAATAACAGTGGTTTTGTTAGTGATGTCTTTTAATACAGTTGACATTGTTTGTTTCCTTTTATTTGCTTTGATATTTAAGAACTAGAAATGCTTGGATGCCTTCTGCAACAGAAATTATGTTTTTAATCTATCTATCTATAGATCTATCTGTATCTATAAATATCTCTTTATATCGCTTCTCCTGAACTAGGCTATTCATCTCTCCAGTTTTACTTTTTCGTATATACGAAGTATAGAGAAAGTATTGTAATCGTGCAAAAAAAAAAAAAAAATCGAGATTTTAACAAATCTCGATGTTTTACACCTCACTGATCCGAAAAACATAATTTTGCAATCTTGTCCGTATGTCTGTGTGTCTGTCTGTGTGTAAACACAATAATTTGAGTACCGTTACAGCTAGGTTGATGAAATTTCATATAAAAGTATTTTATTAAAATCGTAGATCCGTATCAACTTGTGAGCGATTTCCGATAACCGGAAGATTTCCGATAACCTGAAGTGGTACTTTTTCTACTTTTGAATTTTTCAAAAGCCTATAACTTGCGTACTATTCCAGACAAATAAATGAATTTTCACATGTAAGTAAAAGATCTAATTCTATACCTTCTGTCAAATGTTGAGTAATTTCCGTTGACCGGAAGTACTAATTTACGCTATTTCCGATTTCTCAAAAAACGCATGTAAATTTATAAAGTACTAATTATATTGCGTACTATTATGCACATCTTTATTTGGCGTTCACTTGGTGCGCAATTCTTTTTTTTTACGAGATTCTATTCTATTTTTAAAAGTTAAAGTAAATAAAAATTATGGCTATATTCCGGTTATATAAGAATATTCGAGAAAGTTTAGGGGAGATCACTCCCGGTTTATTTCTTGTTAGTTTAAGAGCTTTGTGAATTGTAAAGGGAACATCATGTCAAGAAATTCGTGTTAGGCTTATCTAACTTAGTCTAACCATTATTAGACCTAATTAGGACTACACAAGAAATCCATTTCATCACTATCAAAGTGAAATACAAAAGATTTAGGACTAGAATCTTGATCTAGATCTAGATGTACTTAAAACAATTAATTTTAATAACTTTCTTACTTTCTAATATTTCTAAAATTTCTATGGTTGAGTGCTTCTAGCAAAGGCACAGAATTATAGGCCAACATGAAATTAAAATAGATCTAGAGATCTAGATTTAGATCTAATAATAAAATTCAACGATTGGTTTGTCGTAGGCTAACCAGTGTGTTGCATTATTACAAGAAGAATATTTATGTCCGATAAAGTGTAGCTTAAATCAAATAGTTTACATATTCCAGTTTCTGCTGAGCAACTAAACCATCGCTTACTAGATCTAGATTAAATAAAATTATTTGGGTACAATAGTTTGGTAGGCCTAGAGGCTAGATCTAGATACTAATAGTAACTAAATACTTACTCCTAGAATCATTTTTTTAATTCTCTCGCCGATTTAAAAATTGCGCCACAACACAATAAAATTCACATCTAATCTCATCTATCGACAGGAGTTCTAACAAATGTATGTTAATGATTTAAGTGATTTAATTTCTTTAGGACAAATCAAGTAAAATATTAAATTAACTAAATGTGAGGAATCTATGTTTAAAATATACTTTAAAGCTTACTTTAAATATTAGTAAAACTCTTTCCTTGAAACAGCTGCAGACGCCTAAAGTAGGTCAGCATCGATTCTGGACCAAAGAACTCACATCACAACAAAGCGAATATCGTGCGTGTGTAACAGTTTTTTCAGGTGTGTAGCCGTACATCCAAAACATCCTGCCGTTTGTGTATGTGCCGATAGCGGTTTCGTCACACATTGTGAGATGCTGTGTGGTGGTTTATGTTTGAGGCAGTCAGTGTAGAGAAGAGAGTAAAGTAAAGAAAGGGTAATCTATCGCTTTAGGTACGTAAAATCGGCCGAGGTTAGTAACGTGAAAAGAAGGTGCCTCATTAAATGTTAGTTATTTCACATTGTATTGATTTTAAGGAAGATTTATGACATGTTTTGAAAGTTACAAAAATGTTTCAAAGTTTCATTCATGTACCTGGTTTTTTAAACAATTTTATTAAAAGTATTCAGTAATAAATAAAGACTAGCGATGTTTTCATCAGTTGCAACAAAGCTCGTTTACTTCAGCAGCCATCCTAAGTTTTTTTTTTGGTAAACTTATAGCGGGAGATTCAGGGGAAGCCACTCTATTTTACAAATAACTGCTGTATAATACTGTATATATATATATTATATATATATATATATATATATATATATATATATATATATATATATATATATATATAATATTGCTAGCAAACATTGCTGTTTAAAGTTAATTTCTGGCCTATATTGATATATTTAGCCGTTAATTTTGGTTAATTATTCAATTATCTATAATATTTGGCACAAATATATCACAATATATTTCTATTGAAGCCTTAACAATGAGGCAAATTTGTCGCACATTATTAGCCTCGGCCGATTTTACGTACCCAAAACAATAGAACAATAGATTACTAAGTAAAGTTCCCTTTCAAACCTGACGGTCTATAGGGCAAGTGTAGAGTTCACTTGTTTCTGTGACCTCGGTTTATGAAGAGATGGTGTGGTCAGCACTATGCCCAGTCGCCTTTACTTTCCTTAACTTGAGTTAGGTTGTGATCAGAGTTAGAAAAGAGTAGTGATAGTTAAAATTGAGCTATTGACAGGATCTATTTTTCTTTGATACAATAATTGTTTGTTTTTGTATTAATATTCAGGGGCTGTCTGGTTGTATCAGAGTGGCCCGGGAAGTAAAGGCGGCCCTGACTGGACATACATTTTCGGTGCTTTATTTTTTTCTAACCGCCTTTTAAATTTATCATTATTTTAGAGTAAAATTTGGTAAGAGTTGTAACAATTGCTTTTTTAACTATATTGTTAATATTGTATAAATGTAGTTCATATTTTGCTCTGCTCTGATCTCAGCATACAGAACACGTTAAAAAATAATGTAAAATTACGATACTTTTATCATGTGCATAATTGTACATTGCAAGCCCTGTTTGTCAAAAGAAATTTTATTTCATTTCATAAATGATAGATGGATTACATACTGGTCAACGAAAAAAAATTCTATGTTTTTTCATGAATAAAGTTACATATTTGGATAATTGTCACACATTTTCATTTCAAAATTGTTTTAAAAGTAAGGCACTATACGTTATAGCTTAAAAATTGTTAAGCTTGAGAAATGTGACAGTCGTACACATGTTTTCACTTTTACAACTTTCAAATACAGTTCATCACCTGCATCTAATTCGATAACAGTTACATCAGTAGCAGTTGAATGAAAACAGTTAACAATTACAACTGTACAGTATTCGTCACCCTCCTCCATTTTACTCTCTGTTGCTGAACTTTTACGAGGTGATTGGCAGCAGACATGAACCCGAACGCTACCAACGTTCTTTTTTTTAAGTGAAATGGTTAGACAGATGACATAAAGTCCACTAGTTGGGACTTTGAATTTTCCTTCCTTTGTATTAAAGTGTTTGCCGGAATTGCTCACAGGATCTTCAAATTGTGTGATAATGTCGCCTGCACAAACAGGAAGGTTATTTTGTAAAGTGACACACAGTGCAACAGGTGTTGGACTGTTTTTGGCAGCTGTGAATAGAAAATGTAGAGTCTGAAATTATGAGTTAATCATACAATAATACATAAAGCATTCAATCTATAAAAAAAGTTTTTTTCAAATATTTTTCCTTTCCTGTATTAAGTGTGGAATTGTTGTAAAAATATATTTATTGCTAATGAAAAACTTACCTAAGGCATTTTCTTGTAACTGTAAAATATATTTCAAATATAAGCAGTGGCGTAGCGAGGTCGGGTGTCACCCGGTGCGGCACTTAATGGTGTCACCCCCCCAGAGGCATAGAGACCCTTCCCAGGGACAAACTTTCAAATTTTCGATTTGCACCCCCCCCTCAAACTTTCGATTTGCACCCCCCCCTCAAGTTTTCGATTTGCACCCCCCCCTCAAACTTTCGATTTGCACCCCCCCCTCGAGTTTTTCTCTATATATTTTGCTATTTTTTGCCTTGGTGTCACCCCCCTAAATGGTGTCACCCGGTGCGGTCCGCACCCCCCGCCCCCCCCCCACGCTACGCCCCTGAATATAAGAAATATGTAAACACATGCACATTCTAAGATATACATATACGTATGTATAAATATATATATATATGAATAAATATATTTATATATATATATACATGTATAAATATATATATATATATATATATATATATATATATATATATATATATATATATATATATATATATATATATATATATATATATATATATATATATATATTATACTCACAATTTCACGTAGTCACATACACCTATTTATACCTACTTTTATACTGAAACACATATACATACATGCACAAAGACGTAGTCATAGATGTGGAGTTTGACTTATAAGTATTTAAACATTTACTTATACCCATACTTTTACTTTAAAAATACAAATATTCGTGCATGTGTTAAGAATGAGACAAAAATACAGTTTGTATTGCTGTTACCAAAATTATAAGCATATTAATTATCTTTAATATTTAAAAAAAAAATAAACTACAAAGCATTTGAGAGTAATTGTATTTACTTGATTGAAAATTTCATCCCTGGACAATGAGAGTGTACCCATTACTTCTTTTACAGTCTCCAAGATTTTAAATTTTTTTGCCAATAGCTGACACAAGGTTCCACACTGTTGAAACAAGATTTTAAATTAACTTAATAACTTAATATCTTTATTTCATGTTCAAAGCTAGAATTGAAAAATTAGTTTAAAATAAAATGTTTCTTTTGAAACTATTAACAATTTAAAACTTAAACTTCTTATTAGATAGAAAATGTAATTAAAACCTTTAAATCAACATTCATGTACTTGTGATCCAATGTCTCCAAATTAAATTCAAGTTTTAACTGTTTTTCAGACAAATCTTTTACTGATGTATCTGTTTCATTAGATGTTATGGAAGTATTTTTAACTTGTTCCCATAATTCTTCTATTTGTTTATTGCTGTGTGTTGTTGTATCCTTCATTTCATTTATGGAATGCTTCATTTGTTTCAAAGTACCATTCACTGAATCCTTTACTTCATTGAATAAATTCATATTTTGTTCAATGTTCTCAGAAAGTGTTGTTGTCCAATCAGATTGACGCATCATCTTTTCATTCAACATTTGGATGTTTTCCTCCATCTCTTTCAGATCTCGTCTACACTGTTTTGACTTCTTATTCTGTGAGCTTAGCTTTACTTCTAAATTTGTTAGTCTGTCATTTAATGAGCTAACGCTCTCTTCTAACTCAAGACATTTTCTTTGGAGAGACCCAGGTAGTTCTATAGTGAATGGCAAATTAGAAATATAAAAATAGATTTAAACACACAAACATATTTATGAATTAATATCCAGGTGCATATATATGTATGTGTGCGTATATATATATATATATATATATATATATATATATATATATATATATATATATATATATATATATATATATATATACACACATGCATATATATGTATACAAGTATATATATATATATACTCACATGCATATATATATGTATGCAAATGTGTATATATATATATATATATATATATATATATATATATATATATATATATACATATATACATATATATATATTATATATATACATATATACATATATATATATATATATACATATATACATATATATATATTATATATATACATATATACATATATATATATATATATATATATATATATATATATATATACATATATATATATATATATATATATATATATATATATATATATATATATATATATATATATATATATATATATATATATATATAATATGTGTGTATCTGTACATGTTTATTTTTTATTTTACTTATATACATACATACATTGAATATATGTATATAGTTATATATGTGTGTGTGTGTTTATGAGAGAATATGAGTGTGTTAGTGTGCATGTATATAATATTGGAAATGAAATTTTTGTGCAATCACTATACAAGTTTTATTCTTATTATAAAAACTACGTATGGGCATTTCTGGATAAACTACCTTTGTTCAATGCACCTATCATCCAAGCACCTGAAACATTTTTTTTATATTGTTTACCAGATGCATCATCGTTAACTGATACTGAACACAGTATTTTATTTGTTGAAGTGTCTTCAATGCCTGTTGTTGAGGAACCACTAGTTTCCTTTTGTTCTTCTTGAGTAAAATCATTTTCTGCTGCAATATACATGTGATTGTCATTAGTTGTTATCCTTCTTAATCTACATCACAGTATAACTACTTTATTACACTTCATGAAAGATATCTAGCAGTTGTGAAAATTGTGTCCATCTTTTTACTGATCTTAGAGGGGTTTGTTAAGCCTTATTTTTCTATGTGTATACAATTAAAATATATAATATGAATTGATCTCTTTAATGCAGACATATTTTTTAAAGCTTAACTAAATTAAAATGAAAATCTAAAAGTAGTTTTAAACTTTTTTTTACTAAGATTTGCACCTGCAACAATCTAATGGTGATAATTGAATTTATTTTTCTTCATTCTTCAAAAGAAGTAATTAAAAATGATCATACATAAAATGAAACTGAATATGTAGTACTTAAAATTGTTGAGTATTTGCATAAATTATCTTTGTTTATTAGTTCCAGTTGTTGCATCATTTCAATAAAACTCCTGTGGTTTCCATCTCTGAGAGTTAAGCAAGAGTTGCATTCTTCAATAGCCTGCGGAGAAACAGAAAGAAATTAACAGTGGCAATACTCTGTTACAAGTCTTGATATAAATCAAATATTAAGTTTTTAATTTAGGCATATGACTTTGTTTAACACACACTTACTTCATTAATTGTGCACAGTACAGGAGTTAAAATATCTCTTTGGTTTTTCAGACTCTTTAGATAGAGAGCCACAGCTTGTTTTTGTATGGTTGAAAACATCTGGAAAAAAAATTTAATTAGCTAATTAAAATATTGGTACCGCTAATACTTTTCAAACTAAAAACTTTTCCTTTACTGAATGTTCAGATTTAAACTTGGCAATGTTTGCTCTAAATAGAAAGGATTTTACTGCAAAAGGGAAACAACCGTGCAAATTATCGTTCTTGATAGTCATTCTAAATATTTAAAAAAATGTAATTTAAAAAAAATATATATAAGGAAATAATATTAATACAAACTCCGACAGCATATACCAGGTTTGTTTAATAGTTAGTAATTAGGCATACTTCTAACCCTTATATAATTTAAGCTAACATCTTTTAGAAAAAAACTCAAATACGCTGTTGGCCCTATGCAATTTTTTTTAAGCAATACATAATATCTTTTGACTAAATCTATACAATGAGTTGTTCTTTTTTAAACAAACAAAAAATAAAATAAACAAATAACAGCAACATTGTTAATTAAGTATTTTAATGATTGGTAAATGCTACAGCTGGCATCTTAACGTGACAGCTCATACAAAAGTGAAAAAGGATCAATAGAGTTCGGTCTCCGATAATTGTTTTACGCTTATTGTATAGGTCTAAAGAAATTTTTAAATATTTATTTTATCTAACCCTGCAATAACATAGACTATAGAATATATCACTTTAGTAAATCTACCTTGTGGCCTGCTGTTTGGTTAAGCTTCGTTTCTGTTTCGCTAATTAGTAATTAACAATTGTATTGGAACAATTCATTTCGGAAATTCCCAAAAGTGCTTAGGTCACTGAAAATAACATACTTGCCAAATAGATTTAAAGTAGGCCAAAATAATAAAATCCACATCATGCATACTTTAAAATAAACTAATTTGTAAATTTAATGAGTGGTTTTGTTGATACTTAATGTTGAATCGAAATGCTTCTTTTGAGTTAAACTCTTGAAATATGTTTTCTCAAAAATGAAATATCAGTCATTAAACAAATGTATTCAGAGCCGGCGTTAGGGGTACGCGGGGCCTATGGCCAACCATCCGCGCGGGGCCTTATATTTTTTTCATTGGTGTATAATTAAATAAAACATGTACAGTGAGGCGTTTTTTTTTTCTTCTCAACGCGAATTAATATTTATAACGATATATATGGTATTTTTAAGCTGTTTATCAATGTCGTATTAACATTAAGACACTGATTAACAAATAATTTGTTTACTTAAAAGTGCTTTTATAATTTTGAGACACGCATTAAAGAGACGATGAACGTCAGCTTCAAACCTGATTTTTTTACATTAATGTTTATTTATGAAAATCTTACCAGTACGTTCACAAACGAAGATCTACTTTTCTTGCCTTTCGTGAGGAAAATTCCATGATTATATCATCATAGTCCAAACTGGAGGATATGTCTTTTTCTATTGACAGAATCGACAGGCCGCAGAGCCTGTCTTGGGACATCGTTGATCTCAAATAGTTCTTGATCAACTTCAGTTTGGAGAAACTTCTTTCGGCGCTTGCCACTGTGACTCGAACTGTTTGAAAGATTCTGTAGGCGATCGCCGTATTGGGATAGGAATCCCGAATGCTCCAAATGTACTGAAGGCTCTGTTTGGCTGACTTAATACCTTCGGGCACTTTGAAGCAACGTTAAATCGGTCCACAGTGGCAGGTGATAGTATCGATATTTTCTCAGTTTATCGAGGGTTAACAGGGGCATTCAAAGTGTGTGGATGCCGGGGAAAATAGCAAAACATTGATAGATTTCGGAATAAGCTCGAATCGTGAAAAAAACTGTTTACAGCTATAGATATCCAAATGAAATGACTCTCAAATGTAATCACGGACGCTCAGTAAGGTGGAACACTGGGGGGGGGGGGGGGGTGACAGTTGGTGGGGTGAGGTGAAGCCCGTGAAGGATAACTGTACATTTAAATCTATGGGACGCCAAACCCTAAAAAAAAATCAGTTCGGGTACTACGTTACTGGATCTCTGACCGCAGCCATTCAAGATAAGGTGCGTGTGTATAGAGCGTCCACGTATTACATTACAGGTTAAGACCGCGTTCTCACAAGAGAAGGTCCGTGTCTATAATTAGAAAGTGAACCATGTTATTTATGAGTTTCGCGATGGCATGCTCGGACTGCCGGTAATTTAGACGTTTTAGAAATCAGGAGAACTTTACTATAAAACAGTCTCGGCCCGATGTATCAAACAGTATAGACTTTATAATTTGTTTAGTGTGCCCACACTATTTTAAAACAAGAATCACTATGGCATTAACTATTATACTGAATATCCCTACACAGAGGCGTAGCGAGGGGGTTGCGGATCGCACCGGGTGACACCATTAAGGGGGGTGACACCAAGGCAAAAAATAGCAAAATATATAGAGAAAAACTTGAGGGGGTGCACATCGAAAGTTTGAGGTGGGGGGTGCAAATCGAAAACTTGAGGGGGGGGGGGGTGCAAATCGAAAGTTTGAGGGGGGAGGGGTGCAAATTGAAAATTTGAAAGTTTTTTCCCGGGAAGGGTCGCTACGCCTCTGGGGGAGGGGGGTGTCACCATTAAGTGCCGCACCGGGTGACACCCGACCTCGCTACGCCACTGTCCCTACAATTAATTAAAATAAACATGTGCTTAATCACTTTACGAATACCGTTAAAGTTTACCAAAATGAAAATGGACATAATTACTGTATAAATGCCCTTCAAAAATATAAAAATAAATACAAGTATAATGTATTTAAAGATGACCTGACAATATATAAAATAAATATGAACATAATTACTGTATGGATGCCTATCAAGCGTATCGTGGTAAATATGCATAATTATAAAAAATATGCCCATACAGTGTATAAATTATGATTTTAGGGATAAATACTCTGGAATTCCGGGGCATGTCCCCATCCGCTCACCCCCCCCCCTACTCCTCTGCAAGACATCATCAGGTCACTGACTGTTTACTACAGGCACCCCCGCCTGCTCACTAAAAAAACGTCTTCAACGGTCCGCAAACAATAGGGTATCTTTTTACATTTTTTCCCGATTTTACCTCCCATGTCAGGTCGGGGGCTAATTCGCGACCGCCATCTCCAGTCACCTCAGGACAATAGCAAGTGGACCGTGCCAGCGATGTGTGACACTAATGTCTTTCTTTAGAATAACGGTCTGTCCCAGCCCATGTAAAGGAAAACTCAATAACATCAGCCTTGGCCTCAGTTTTAACATCCAACAACTTCGGCCATTTAGTTGGGTTTTTTTTTAAATTTAATTCAGCAAAGGTTATTTAAGTTTACAAACTAATTCAGACAACAATGGCCTTGCTGAAGCGCGGGGCCCCTTCAAGCGCGGGGCCTGGGGCGGCCGCCCCGTTTGCCACCCCCTAACGCCGGCTCTGAATGTATTGCAGCCTACGACTAGGTCTAAAACATTTTAAAAATAGGTTGACAATATTTGGCTTGTCAACAGCGCGGCTTTGACAAGCTTGAGGTTTGTCCACACGTAGCTTTAGAAAAAAAAAACAGCACTAAATCTCCAATAAAAAAAACTAAAAGTTTCAGGAAAAGGGCTTTTATTATATTCATAAATCACAAAAAAAAATCACGAATTAAAAATGCATTAAAAAATGACAAATAAATCTAGTTTTGTGTAGCCTTACTAATATTATATTCTTGTATGGCTAACGATAAAAGCCTGAGCCCTCGATGATAATTGAACATAGGTCGTATATATAGTATGCAGTAGCGTACGCAGGGGGGGGGGGGGGGGAGCAGGGGGAGCGGCCGCTCCCCCTCTGGCCATTTTCAGCAGAGTGGCGCCTTTTTGGAAATTTTTTAAGCAATGATATTTGTTGAAAAATATTTTTGGTCGGCACATCTATGTAAATCACAAGATTTCTTTTCATGCAGCAATTAAGCATTCTTGTACTAGTCTAGTAGTGTCTACATTTACAATACGTATTAACAGCTGCATCAGTTTGCCATTCTAAAAATAACCATTACGATGCAATGCAATGTTTAAAAAACCTCTACGGTAGTACCTCTTGGCAAGAGGGGTATTAAGTTTAAGGAAACTGTATAATATATTTGCTTACGAATAACTGAATTAGAAAATGTTATATACTAAACTTCACACATAATTACTTTATACATACAGTTCGAATCGTGTGATTAATTTAAAAAAAAAATTACAATGCAGAAACAAATACAACTGATGTGGCACCTCTATTTAAATTTACTTATGAGCAAACTGCGCAGTGGTGGGGAGATTTTGACAAGGTCAACAACGTCATCACGATGAAGTAGTAGTATTCTTACAGTTTGGGCGATAGTGATTACGATTACAAATTATATGAAACAGTTACAACCCTCCTCCAAAGTACCATGCCGCCAGAAAATTAGCTTTTTAAACGTAAAACTCTGTGAATATTGTTTTTGCAATTACCAGTAAAAAGGTTTGTGATCAATGCAGTGATCTAACCCATACCTATCACTATGTTAAATAAAAATGACCATTAAAGAACTCAAAGAAGCAGTCAGTGTTTCTTCCAGACTTTTTTCCGGGGGGGGGGGGGGGACACTGTTAAAAGTATATATTTTCTATATAAATTATGTAAATTTCATTTCGTTCTGGGTGGGGGGGGGGGGGGGGGGGTGGCGGTAAAAAAAAATTTCGGGGGGGCTTCCGAAGAGATGCCTGGAAGAAACTCTGGAAGCAGTAGGTAATTAAAATATATGATCTGGCTGTTATTCCGAATGTTTTTCTGTTGTATAAAAAAGCGTGGTTTTATACAAACTCTGATTTTAAAAACTTTCATTATGCTGTAATACTTTAGCATTTATGATGACGATATATTAAATTCTGATTATAGACAAAAACATTTTGCAAACACGAATAGCGTTAAACAATTTCATTATATTCTAAAGTAATTATTTATTTGTTTTGACATTTACAATTAAATGTGTAGATATATACATATTTATATTAAGAGAGTGATTATTTCCCCTATTTCACTTGCTTCAATAATTTCCCAAGAATTATTATGTAAGACATTTTTTTACAAGAATTACAAAACAGATTGTGTTACGTTCATTGTTTTTGGTTGTAGTATATATATATATATATATATATATATATATATATATATATATATATATATATATATATATATATATATATATATATATATATATATATATATATATATATATATATATATATTTGTTTAGATTGATACAATTTTTGTTTTGTCGGCCTACATTGTGTGTTTTTTCTTATTTCCCACGTTTTCTTTAACTTGCTTTCGTCTCTGTTTGTCTTTCCAATCAAATCTTGCGATCGAAATTGCTGGCACTTCCCAGTTAGCTAGCGCGCTGAAATTTTCAGGGAAGCTTTGTTTTGGATGACATTAGAATATTCAATTGTTATTATTACTAAATTGATCCATGGAAACATTTTATTGAGCATTTTAGACCGCTATATAATCTATATATATAATTCTCCTCTGCGAGCCATTAGAAAACAAGCTGCAAGCGCCTCCTTACAGTCCCCTCTCTTTCTCTCTATCACTATCACTACCACCCTACCCCACCTCCACATGGTCTGCTGAGCTGTGGTCACGTTAATGTTTACAAACCGTACAGCCAGGTTTAGTGACGGCTATTAGGGGCAGATAATTTAGTTTGAACCGACTTTAAACTTACAGGAGGTAACTAAGAGGAGGCTGCTTTCACGGGGGGGGGGGGGGTGTAGGGTCGGGGTTAGGGGAAAGGAGCGGGGTTAGTGTTTTAAAGCAAATATTTTCAGTGGCAGCATTGGTACTGTCGAATTCACAAATTATGAATTACTGTAAAGTAGAAAATAAGTCAACTAAATAGCGGCGTATGATACGCCGCGGGTCGGCTCGTTGTAGTAAAAACGTGGGGAAAAAGGGACATAACCCAGTAACTGTAATTTGTGTACAAACAACCGTAACAACTGGTGGCCAGTATGGGGGAGACGATATGGTCGAGTGGTTGGGCACACAATTGCTATCCCACTCGACACGGGTTCAAATCTATGTGTTCTAGTCAGTAACGTATTCACACAACGTGTTTTTTACGAGTTGTCTTTTTACGAGTTGTCTTTTTACGAGTTATTTTCGTTTACCCAAAAAAAAGTGAAAAGATAAAATCGATAGCAAGGTTTTAATGCAAACAAACAGACAAAGACTAAAAAGTAGAAAATAATAATCATTAAAAAAGTTTTAAAAAACCCACGTTTTCTGATTGAACTAAAAAGTAGAAAATAAATGCTATACATCACAATAATGCAAGCGATCACTCTACTATAAGCGATCAAAAACGTGGGGCGCCGTGATTTTCTTACAGTTTCTAATACTGTTGACTCTCTAGAAGCTCCCTAATAAAAGTCAATAGTATTATCTAATCAATAGTAATATAACTTTTACTTCGGCGCCCCACGTTTTTCATCGCTTATAGTAGAGTGATCGCTTGCATTATTGTGATGTATAGCATTTATTTTCTACTTTTTAGTTCAATCAGAAAACGTGGGTTTTTAAAACTTTTTTAATGATTATTATTTGTTCAGAGTGCTACTTTCAATTTCTTTTACTTCATAGCGAAAGTAATGACATACATCTAGCAATATATATATATATATATATATATATATATATATATATATATATATATATATATATATATATATATATATAATACACGTATATAGAACGTGTTAAAAATTCGGCGCCTTTTTTTGCTCTTTTCGCTCCTCCTACAACGAAAACCTGGATACGCCTCTGATAGTATGTTATACAACGTAAACCTACCTGTGAAAGGGGATATATTTTCCATAAGTTAGCAATGAGGCTGTTATTTTTAGCCATACCAGCATAAATAACTTTAGTAAGGCTACACCAAACTAAATAACTTTTTTAAAAACTTTTTAGTGTATTTTGTATCTTTTTTTTGTGATCTATGAATATAATACAAGCATTTTTCTTTATAAATGTTATTTTATGTGAGATTTAATTTCTACATTTTAGTAATCTTTCAAACTAAGACTAAAAATGTTTGCGTTAACATTCGTACAGTAACTTGTGATCTCTAAAACTAAATTACCTCCTCCTAATTACCTCAGCTAACCGTGAGCTTACCAGAGTTTAGTCTTGACGGTCTTCTGATCCAGCAATTGCTAGTTTTTTTTTGTTTTTTTTTTTAAAAACCAACCTTGTTATCTCCCCTTTTTAAAAAAAAAATAAATTGAAATGAGTAATTTCAAAATTAAATTTAATAACTAATTGTCTTTTAAATTTAAAAAAAAAATAATATTCATGTATGGTCATCCAAGATCTATCGCTGTGCCAAATTTCAGCTCAATCGGACAATGGGAAGTGGGTTCAATTTAGATTCCGAGATTTGCGGAGCCTCACACTCACACACACAACTACTGAGCATGCTAAATAAAAGCCTTTAATAATTGTAAAATAAAACAAAAATGATAATTATATTTACTGTTTAAGATAACATTGTAACAGAATATATGAGTGTGATCACGTGTTCTCGAACCTTAAACTTTGAGGCATTTCATACAAAAACGTCACGATTTTTTTAGGCGATTTTACCTCCCCCCTCCTCCCTATCACATATGGTAACAAAAAGCCATACTGCCCCCTCCACTGTAAAATGATGTCACAACTCAGCACCTGTCCCCCCTCCCGAATTTATAAAAATCGCAACGCTTTTTACCTGTCACTTTCCTTTTTTATTTCGGTGTCACACAATCGGTGTAGTGAAATAAGTTCGTAGAGCCAATTCGATATCTCTTTTCTTATTTTTGACAGTGTATGCCTATAATTCAATAATGCATTTCAGACTGAGCCCTTTCTACTATTCCGTTTAACACCCCCTTAGGGCGGCACTTGGGGGCAGTCACCCAACCCTCCTACCCCTTCGCTGTATTTATATCTACTTCTAAACACCAGACTAGTATAGCCATGACTTTGTTATGGCCGTGTCGTCTTTGCAATGCATTACGATAACCTTTACATAACTTTATCCTCAACAGAACACAAAAAATCAATTTTAGGGTTGACCCTATAAAATTCTATTATTAATCTAAAATTAATAACAAACATAAATTAACTTAAACTATTAACCATTACAGATCCTTTTGGCATGCTATCCTCCCAAATACAATACAAAATACCTTGTTTAATAAGCTCCAACACTATCGACAAACAATCATTCATTTTAATACATCCGTTTTTGGTGTCAAACAGTAGTAGGATTTTAATAACGAAAATGTGTATTCAAATAACAAAAATGTCTTGATTTCTGATAATAATTTATTGAATTTTAAATATATGTTAACAAAGTAATATCAGTTGGAGTATAATAATAATAACTTAACAAGATGATACAGTGCAATTGCGACCTATATTTTTCATGAGTTTTTTGTTATGTCAACAAAATGGTGAAATTAATTTAACGTCACACTCGTAGAGGGGGAGGGGGTGTTCAGATTGTGTAACGTTACATATAGCATTAAAAATTATGTTAGAAACTGAATTTAGCCGTTATTTTGAGTTTTAAAAAAAGTGTTTTAATTGTAATATAGATTATTCAAAAAACCTTACATTGACCGAGCCTAATCAATATTTTAAACAAAAATAGATGTTAAAAAATAATCCTTAGCAATTTTGAGGGGGGGGGGGGGGGGGGCTGGGGCGTTGTTGGCTGAGGTGTGATGTCATCTTAAGAGTGGGAGAGGGGTCGGGTCGGACTGGCTTTTTATGACGAAGCGTGATGGAGGGGAGGTAAAAGACGTCAAAAAAGCGTGACATCATTTATGGAACCCCCCCCCCCCCCCCCCCTTCTTAATTTAACACAATTTTATTGTATTATTAAAATTGAACTATACAATTTCAAGGATCATAATATATAAATCTATATACAATTATTTAATTTATTTGAATTTTTAAAAATCAGTTTAAATTTTATAACAGGTGAAACTTGAGAAATCTGACAACCGGACAGATTTATGCGCCTTTAAAACTTGCAAAAAAAGTTTTTCGCCTGCTTCCAAGTAAATCACAGACACGTCAGTAGCGGCTGATTCTGATTGAAAACAATCAACACACGCTATTGCGTTATCTTCAACGATTTCTGAACCATCAGTCGTTACGTCCGCTGATTTATTATGGGCAGATACACAGCTCACAGCTATACGAACACTATCAAAAACTCGCTTCTCTAATGAAAGAGTTAAAGAAATGAAGTAAATCCCACTCGTCGGCACAGTGAACTCCCCTTTGTTGACATCAAAATGGTCGTCAACATTGCATATCACATTTTCAAATGCTTTTATAATGTCGCCTGGGCTAATAGCTAGGTTATTTTTTATAGTGACACAAACTGCTACAGGATAATCTGGCATCGTTGAGGCTGAAATACGAAAATGTAAAGTACAGGTTTTAGGGATAGATCATTATAATATTAAATAGATCTATATTCGGTAATCTATCGTTTTAGGTACGTAAAATCGCCGGCGAATTGAAATGTGAAAAACAGGTGACTCCTTAAATTTTAATAATTATTTCACATTTTGAGGAGGATTTATGTTTTTTAAAATACAAACATGTTTCCTTGTTTCATTTATGATTTATGTACCTGTTTTTAAACAATTGAATTAAAACTTTTCCATAATAAATGAAGACTAGCGATGTTTCCAACAGATGCAACCTATCTCATTTACTATAGCAGCCATCTTGTTTAAGTTTTATTTTTATAAGCTTATAGCGCAGATTCAGGGGGAAGCCACTCTATTTTACAAATGGCTTTTGTTAATATAGCAAATCTTGCTCACATACACTGCTGTTTAAAGTTAATTTCTGGCCTATATTGATATATTTAGCCATTGATTTAGGTTTATTATTCATTTATCTATAATATTTTACACAAACATATGACAATACACTTCTATTATATAATATATATATTATATATATATAAAAGCAGATAAATGTAGGCCAAATGCTTACCTAATGCATTAGCATTTGGGTTCAACTGAAAAAATGAAAGAAAATAAGATTTTTCAGTGAAACTAGTCATACAGCAGGTTGAGTAACAGCTTGATTAACTAGATTTTATGAGTAAACATTATTTGAATGTATTTAATTAAAAAAAACAACAAAAATTAAAGTCATCTTATAAAAATGATTAAGGAGTAGAATGACACAAAAAAATAGAACCATTGAAAATAGTTATGAAAGGCAAAGAATATAAAGCTAAGAAATAAAGTACCATCTGCATTAAATTCAGATGCATTGGTTACAGGCTGGGAAGGCTATGCCAGAAAGATGATGACAGCTAACTGACAGTATTTGATAGAGGGCTTGCATAAGTTATAACATGAAAGATTTTCACTAAGTGATAGAAGCATGTGTGCAACTTGTATAATATGCAATGCTTTGAAATACATTTGTATTTTACAAAATAATTACATGACAGATTTAGTACTGTGCTGCTCTACCAATAGCATAAGAAAAAATATGATGATAGATACAAATCATTTATGCACTTGTTTTTGGAGATAAAGTCTGAAAAATTATTTGTATGTATTTTTTAAACAAACTGCAAGCAAGATATTTTATAATAATAAAAATGTTCTGATAAATAGTTTTAATGTTAATTATAATTATATGCTTACCTTAATGAACGTATCACCTTTGGTCAATGAGGGTTTGGTCAAAACTTCTTTTAAAGACTCAAAGATTTTGAACTTTTTTGCTAAGAGCTGACAAATAGTTCCACACTATTGAAAAAGATTGTTTAGTTTACTGTCATTAAAAAATAACCTGTGCAAAAATAGTGAAAAGTAAGTTGGCCTACTTAACTGAATTCAAAAACTTATGTCAGAAAAAGTTTGAGAAAATAGGTTGCAAATTCAGATATTTTACTAAAGTTTATATTCTTATGTGATATTGTTGTTTATATGGGGACTGAAATACATGTTTCAGCATTAGTATTAGCTCAATCAAAATGGAGTAACTAGCATTATTTGGCTTGCTATTGCCAATAATTTTTGAGTTCGAATCCTAGTTCAAATCAGTAGATCATCGCTGAGTCCGCACTGCTCTGATGGATAACTAACACACATTGGGGAAGCAAAGGTGGCTAGGCATAGTGCTGACAACATTATCCTCTTGTATGCTGAGGTCATTGAAACAGATTAACTCTCCTTCACCTGCCCCTTGTTTCATGGGCATGAGCGGGAAAAGATGATGATGTTCAGGGTGCACATATTTAACTGTCTTCTTTTGCATGTTAGCTCTGTGTAAATATAGGCATTTATTTCAAAATAAATTTTACTTGAATAGACATTTTATATTTACCTTCACTTCTAGATTCTTATATTTGTCTTCAAATGTCTTGAAATATAAAGAAATGCGTAATTGCTCTTCAGATAAATTTCTGAGTGATGACTCAGTATCATTTAATTGTACATGAGAGTTTTTAAGTTTATTCCATAATATTTCTATTTGTTTTTTGCTGTCGTTACTAGAATCATTCAAATCATGTATTGCGTTATTCATTTGTTTCATTTTATCATTAAAAGAATCTATTAAATCATTAAATGAATTTACTTTCCGCTCCATGTTTTCGGAAAGCATTGTTGTTAATATATTTTGCTTGTTTATTTGTTCAGTTAAAGCTTGCAAATTATTCTCAGTCTGTTCAACCTTGCTGTTGTATTGCATCACTGTATTGTTGTGAGATTCAAGGTTTTCTACCTTGCCTTTTATAGTGTTGACATCAGTCCTAAGCTCCTGACATTTCAAATCAATTAAATCTGTTGCCATGTCCAGTTTTTTTTGGAGTAAATTGAATTGTTCTATTGATACTGAAATAAGAAATTAAGTCAATATCTAATTCCAAAATATTTGAAGGAACAGTTAAAGTACATAATAAATTACATCTATTAGTTTCATCCATGTCAAATACCTGTTAAAAATAAATGGTACAACAATAAAACTACTTACTTTTCATTTTTATAGTGTTTGAATAAATTATTGTTCAAATATTTAATGTAAAACTACTTTGTCTTTTCAGTATCTATTAATCTGTATCTATGCTCTTTAAATTGTTAAAGTGGTAATGTACATCTAATATTGCTATTTATTACAATACAAGATTATTATGAGTGACAATATTACCAAATCTATCACTGTCTGCAGTAACATCACGTTGTGGTTGGTTAGGTAGATTCCTCTCATTAATGCTTGAATTATTGATTTCATATTGGTTTTCAACAATGTAATTGTTGTCTACTAAAATTGAAAGAAATTAGCACCATTAGCTTATATTCAATAGGAAGGATTATTTATGGTTTTAAATGTTATTACAACAACCTAGAGTTTCAACATTTCAATCCATAATAGATTAGTGGTCTCTCAGAATTATCAAGAAGTTCGGTTGTCAAATATTGTCTAGCTTTTTGCCTGCATACATATAATAATAAAACTATAACAAATTCATAGAAGAAATTTTACACAATATAAATTACTTAAAATCGCTGAGTATTTCTGTAAATTTTCTTTGTTTATTTCTTCTAAGTATTGCATCATTTCAAGAAAATTTCTTGTTTGTACATCTTTGATGGTTAAGCAAATTTTGCATTCTTCAATAGCCTGTAGGGAAACAGAAGGAGATTAGTTTTTGTTTAATAACAAGTCTTAATAGTAATCAAATATCATTTTTATTTATAACTTTGATTAACACACACTTACTTCATTAATGGTACCCAATGCATGAGTTAAAACATCTCTTTGGGTTTCCAGACTCTTTAGATAGAGAGCCACAGCTTGTTTTTGTATAGGTGAAAACATCTGAAAATGAAAGTTTTTGTCACAAGAAAATTTTATTTCATATAATTCATGTATCAGTACCATGTTGTTTATTTTTTTCTCTAACTTTATTTTTAGGTTTACTGTTTTGAAAAAGAATGTGTATATGTGTTTTGAGTAAAAGAGGTAATATCTGGCATGATTAATGTTTTTTAATGCCAAAATATGGACACTAACATCAACTACTGTATTAATTTATTGATTAGACTATATTTTCCTAGGTGATACTACAAAGAACTAATTTAATAGATTTATATTTAAAAAACGTTTTAGAACGATTTAGTGAAACACTTATATTTTATATAATCTGCGGCTATTTAATTATTTACATTCAAAGCAATTAACTTATAACTTAAGTCATAACTATTGAATTCGTTGCATTAGGTAAAATGTTAGTTTATAAATATTACTCTCTGTGTACAATTTGACAGGACAGGAAGAAATTGATTTAATTGACAACACTGTATGAAATATTAATATAATTAGATCTAGATCTAGTAGTCTAGAGAGTAGAGAGAGACTAACACAGAAAATCATGGCGTAAGTTAAGTTTTTGTAGCTAAAGAATGACAGAAGGGTGGGTTCTTAAAAATTATATTTTACTATTATTTGTGTTCATATCAAGTTAGCTAATAGACAAATACAATTCAAATGTACAGCGCCTATGAATTTAGACTTATCAATTATTATTTATTAATGCTAAACTTACTTCGAAATTAAAGTCTCAATTCGATTCTTTTTTTTTCTTCCAATGTAAGCAAAGGTTAAAGTTCAGTTTGTTTCCCTTTGTAAGGGATACATAATTTCGGGAATTCCCATAACTATTTTTGTCTTACAACATATCAAGCCTATTTGACACTACTAGTATTTTAGTAGGCCAAAATATTTCTCTACATCGATCATTATTATTTTAAAAAATGTGTTTTAATAAAGGTATCTTTAAGACAATGAGGATTTGAAATGCTACATTACATTCAACCCAAACCCTGAATATACTCTGTTTCATCAGAACTCGTTTAACCAATACACGGCATAAATTCTGGTCGAATTTCCATTGTGAATAAAACTATCTAAGAAAAGTGATTGTCATATATACTGTTTTTTAAATTTCTGAAATAATCGAAAAAGAAAGCAGGGAAGGCCAAGTTAGACGTGGATGCTCAATGCTGGGAAGCAGCTGGCAGAGGCAAGTCTGTCATGGGGATTGCCAATAAAATAACCCCATTTGTCTTGGTCATAAAAAATAAAAGATGATGAATATTTTTTGTATACAATCTCATTGACACGTATGAAAAGTTGGACTATGTAAGCAAATCAAGTTAAATACAACCGACCGTTTTAAATGTTCGTTTTCTATTTCTATCATTCCATTGTATTTACTGCTTAAGAATAGTTTATACATAATATTATAATTTTTTATCCTCCACTAACACACTTTATGGGACTTTGTGGTCGAATAGTAGAGCATTCGACTGCTAACCGGAACGTCTTGAGTTCGGTTCTTGGGCTGGAGTTTGTATTAAGTCCCTGAGTCCCTCCAGCTCTGATGGATACCTGACGCACGTTAATAAAAGGTGGCTGAGCAAAGCGCTGACCACACTATACCTTTATATTTTCATATGCCGAGGTCACTGAAAAAGGTGAACTCTACTTCACCTGCCCAATGGACCGTAAGATTCCGAAAGGGTACTTTACTACCACACATATTCCTAATTTACCAAACAAACCCACATAAAAGTCGATTCCAAAATCATCCGTCGCATTTTATAACATTTTGAGGAACCTTCTCCCCCCCCCCCCCCCCCTCCCCGCATTGTGGTGTTCTTACAAAAAGGCAAAGATGCGATACATAAATGCAAAGATGCAATCCCATGAGATTAACTGTAAAAGACAATGTGGAAGTGAGTGGCGAGGATGAATTAACAATAAACCAAAGAATGAGTTTTAGCTTACTGATCATAATGCATTAACCTTTCTGTGTTTGTCTTTGACGATTTATAGAGTAGCATTGTTGACGAGATAAGAGAGAATGAATGGTTGACATTATCTCACACATTCCTCAGTATATCAAATAAATACTATTAGTGTCTGTAAAAAATTAATGTCAAGCATTTGTTTTTCACCACGAAGTGACCAATAGAAGTTTGGGTATAGCCTTATTCTTTGTTAGGATTATTACATATTACTTGGTTTTACAACTTGGGGATACATAGAGTTATGATTAATATTGTTGTTTATTTTACAGTTACATTTAGCTGATTAAGGAATTTAGAATTATCAACTGATACTGCATTTATAATAAACAATGTAAAGTGTGACATCAAATTACACATCAAATACACAGTTGAACGAAATCGAATAATGAGATGTTTCATTAATTATGTCACAAACATAACCCAATCTAACTAATGCGTAAAAGTGGACGAAACATCATGTTGATGCAGGATTTAACTAGTAATATAACTTAGTTCTGTTTCCAGTACTCCCATAATATTGTTTAGTTTACAAGTTATCATTTAAATCTGTTGTATTGAATTATTTCACCATAATGATTAATTGTAATCATTGTAATTTGTTGTATTGAATTATTTCACAATTATGATTACATGTAATCATTAAAATCTGCTGTATTTAATTATTTGACCATAAGGAGTAAATGTAATCATTAAAATATGTTGTATTGAATTATTTCACCGTTTTCGTTTTCTCGTTTAAATACGTCGACAGAAAGCCACACAAATAAAAATTATTTATATTGGTCTTTTTTTATTTAAATTGAGTGAAACGGTAACATTTTAAAGATTCGTAATTTTTACTTTAACAATACTTAGTCAAAAAGATTACCGATGTATTAGTTATAAGACGAATGTGTAGTTAAATTTTACAGCAGCATATTTCTGAAAAGATCATGTTTTGATATGTTTATTTAATCTCAACATTTTCACGGCGAGCATAATATGCGCTATGAAATAAATAACAAATAAAAACATAGCAAACACTGTGTAGTTTATCGTTCTTGCTTAAATTGTACACAACAATTAGACATTTTACTTGAATTTATATGAAGTATAAGCCAAATCATTACTTCAACAACATTCTGTTTTGTTGTGTGAAACCAAATGTAAATAAACAAAAGTAAAAAATACTATCTAAATAATTCCAAGCCTAAACTTAATTTTTCTTAATTTAATTTTGCTTCTATTACTTTTAAAAGCTGTCTCACGGCACTATTCAGTGCTTTCATATATTTTGTAGCAAGTAAATGTTACATGATAGGGCGGAACGAAACCAGAAAGATTTCTGTTTGCCTTATATTGTAAAAACATCTTTTCCCCTTCCTCGAAATATTTGTATGTTACAAAAGTACTCCTATCTCCTTTCATTCTTAACAGTTGAATGGTTGTGTCCGTGTTGTATTCGTCAACATCGAGCTTTTCTCGAGGAACTTGCAATATTATTTCAATCTCAGCACCAGTTTCGTAATCACTTAACAGCACCAGGCTCATGCAATAAACTCCGGTAGTTGGTATTGTGAAGACCCCAGTTTTTGGATTAAAGTTGTCGCCAATGTTGAAATGTACCGGAGAAAACTCACTTAACACGACGGTCATTTCTTCGAAAAAACCGTATGCAGAGAAACCTTCAAAATGTGCATTGTTCTTTTTCTCTGTTTCAGAAAAGAAATGAAATATTAATCTATAACTTTTACACAAGTATTATACAAATAGTTATTTAAAACAACACACGTTAAATACATATTTAAAAACGTATGAACGAACCAGAAGTGTAAACCAAGAAGCATAAAAAATGCAACCAAATCATTTTATAAAACTCTATTTTTCTCAGGCTTACCATAACAGTTCAGATAATTAGTGTGTAAGCTCAATATCAATTTATATCAGATAAAGATACTAGAATAAATTATTAGCTTCTAAAATATTTACGTATGTTAACTAAAACTAAAATTCATATTATGTAAGCAAGTCAGACTAATGCGTTCGAAATTAGACTAATTCAAAACAACCTACCTAATGCAGCAATTTTATCATGAAACTGAAATAAAGACATTTTCATTGTAATATAGAAATTTATTATTTATGCACTATTGAATTATTTCTTTGCTAAATCCTGCACATTCCAATTAATATATCATTATATTGTTAAAAAAAGCATAGCACGAATTGTATTCTTATATTTATTTAATTGTCATTTCTTACGTAGAAATGCAAGAAAAAAAATAATCACTTATATTTATCCAAATAAATATCAAATAAAAATGTTACTATATGACTTCGAAGAGACATAACAATAATTTTATTCGTTTCGTTTTCTTAAATTACCTTCAGGTATGCTTCATCTCTTGATAAAGAGATTTTGCTCAAAACTCCTTTAACAGAATCCAGAATTCTATATCTTCTTGCTAGCACTTGACATATAGCAGCTTGCTGTTTGAACAATCCGTTTTTAGTTGCCAAAAAAATTAACAAGCAAATGATTAAATCTATCATTAGCTTAACTGATATATATATATATATATATATATATATATATATATATATATATATATATATATATATATATATATATATATATATATATATATATATATATATATATATATATATATAATAACTAATTTTTATGGTTTATTTTTAATTAAAATGAATTTTAAGTTCATTATTTTTAAGATTTAAACCTGAGATAGCTAACCGATCACAATCAGAGAATATCAAGAAACCAAAATATTTGCATACGTCTAAAGTGTACAGATGTTCCCAATCCCTGTTTAACTTTGGTAAGTAATTAATATTAGTGTAAGAAAATAAAATGAATTAGATAAGCAATAAGCATGCGAACCTTCGAATACAGTAGTGGATCAAACAAATGTATCCCATTTCATAAGTCCCAATGGAAAGGCATGCATTATTTTTTGTGTTTTGGAAAGAAAAATTAGAAGTGTATCTTGTAGTTTACCTTCCACTCCAATTTCATGTTTTTGTGACCCAATGTTTCTAAATTTGAAGTAAGTTTTAATTGTTTTTCTACTAACTCTCTAATCGATGCATCATTATCGTTTACATTTTGAAACAGTGTTCGAATGTTCTCTTTTGTTTCTAGTATGTCCTTCTGATTGATTTCTTTAATTGTTGCCGTAATTTGATTTGTTTTGTTAAATTGTGTAGTTATCATCTCTGTTTGGTCTTCCACTCTTTCAGTCAATATTTTCATATTTTCCTCAACTTCATCCATCCGCCTTTCGTGAGATTTTATTTTCTTTGTTTGAGATTTCTGTTTTATTTCCAAACGTATTTCTTTTTCAGTCAACATTTTGAGATTCTCCTCCAACTGTGAGTATTTTTGTTCAAGAGAATCAGTTTTTTCGCTAGTTGTTCCATACATTTGCCTTAGACTTTGTAGTTGATCTAAAGTTACTGAAGTTTATAATTGAATACCAGAAAATCAAATCGTTTGTTAAATTAAAACATATAAATAAAAACATTTTTCAAAATTTTCATTAATTTTCTCACAACTTTATCGGCGTATTTAATAATTTCATTACTGAAAATCTATCAACAAAAATCGTTATTTTTATTACAATCATTATTTGTATGAGGAGGAATATTTTATAATGATCATTATTTTATACCATATTTATCAGTCGGGCTGGTAGTGTGAAAGTCGTCAGGGCTGACAGTTTGGGAACCGCTGGAAGAATTTTCTGTGCTATCATCGTCATCACCTTTACTTATTGCTGTAATGTAAAATGTAAACTTTCATTAAAATTTGTTGTTTAAAACAGATGTGAATATTTTAATTACAAATTAAATATTTCAGTATTTAAAACCAAAGATATAGGCCTATTGCAAATTAGAAAACATGATGGAATTCATAGGTCTCAACGAAGGAGGAGTAAAATATATTATAGCTTAGTTTTGTCTTTTTAAAACTATGATTGATATAGCAGTATCATTTTGAGAAGGCAATTGGGTGCAGTTAAAGTAATATACACAGGATGCTACTATTACAGAATAAATTTGCTTGACAGAATTTTTGGTACACGAATTTAGTAACTTTAATTAAGTAAAGTACTCTTTTCGAAACCGACGTTCGTTGTGGGTAAGTGTAGAGTTCATCTGTTTCTTTGACCTCGCTTCATGATGGGATAGTGTGGTCAGCATTAAGTACAACCGCTTTTACTTTCTCTAACGTGAGTTAGGTACCCATAAGATCTGGGTGGACTCAAGGACGTTCTACTCATTTTAACCCTGAATCGATCTCGAGACTTTTCAGGTAAGCTGTCTAGTGCTCTACCACAGTTCCACGCCGTCCCATTAACTAACTGTGGAGTAGACATCATCTGACAGTCAGAGTGGATTAAGATAGTCCTAGGGATCGCTGGCATTTAGTGATGACAGAGAATGGGTAATCAATATGTGGTATTTTGTTTGTTGTGATAGGTATGTGTAGTAAATGAAGTCGAGTAACACAGGAGACGATGAGTTGAGCAGCTTGTAAATAAGGGAACGAGGGACGGTCCAATGTTTTGGAGAAATAGCAAATGTTTGGACAAAATAGAGTTCTGTCGTTAAATTATGCTCCACACTTAATTGAAAAAGGTACCTCTTACTCAATCACACGGTTTGTAGTGGTATTCGTTTGCAGCATAGACTATCCAACCAAAACTTATACGATTACATGTAGTTCTATTAAAAATTTGCATGAATATTTATATATAAATTTTAAGTTTTCCTGTTTTGAAATATACTGTTAATTGCAAAAAAATATTTAAAAAAATATTTTGATCGTGTTTAAAAAATAAATGTTCATACTCAGAATTGTAGAACAAATATGTAAAGCTGAGTTATCGATTTCCTCTAATTGCTGCATCATTTCTCCAAAGCTCTTTTTGCTTCCATCTTTTTCCATCATCCATGAGTTGCACTCATCAATAGCCTATAAAATTATAAAAATTTTTTTTTTTTTAATAAAACTGGATAAGTTTCTTCACTGTTTTAAACCTTTACGAGTGTACGTTTATAATGAGTGAATGACTGCTTTTACTTCTTACATTGTTAATACTATTTAACATAGGGGTTAATGCATTTCTTTTATCATCCAGGTTTTTCAAATAAAGATGTAAGGCCTTCTTTTGGATAGGTGAACACATCTGTAGAATACAATTATAAATTTCAGAACTTATTAAATAATACATATCTATTTATGTATACAAACTAAATACCAGTAACACACACATTTTTAATTATAAATCATAATGGGGTGGCTCAGCTGAATTTTTTTCGAGCATCTTTTTGGGGAATGGGTAAACGCCCCCCCCCCCTTTTTTTATTTGATGCGTGTTCACCGCTCCCTCCCCACTAAACAAAATAGAACAAAAATATTAAAAATATACGATTCAGAAGAATATATGGTGGACTCAGCGAGGTACTCGGGCTTCAAACTTTTATTTGTTCTAAGGGTCCTGTTTCATGAAACCCTCTAGATCTACTCATAGACGGCGCAGACGCACAAAAAAAACCTGCTCTCTCGATTAACAATACACAATCACGTGACGTGTCTTAAAATAACATGTATGGGTAGAGCAGAAGTTAAAGTGTTGTCAATAAAGCTAAGTGCTCTTTCGTAGAGGTCGTCCATGAATGACGTCACACTCATAGGGGGAGGGGGGTCCGTAATTTCGTGAAGGTTTGTGATGAGGGGGAAGAGTGGGGGGTGGGGGGGGGGGGGTTCAGATGGTGTGACGTCACTTTTTCGCATTATAAAAAAGCAATGTTAGAAAACGAATTTTAGCCGTTATTTCGCGTTTTAGAAAACGTTTTAATAAATTGTAATAGGAATTGATTAAAATACTCTATGGTGACAGAGTTCTGACAAGATTTTGGAAAAATATCGATGTTTTAAGAAAAATTCAACATCAATTTGAGGGGCGTTGTAGGCTGAGGTGTGACGTCATTTTAGGGGGGGGTCTGGCTTTTTGTGACGACGTGTGACGGGGGAGGGGGGATAATAATAGTCAAAAAGCGTGACGTCGTTTATGGATGACCCTTAAACCTAGACGTAATATTTAGTAAAATTTAGTATAACAAGATATGAACAGCAGTAAGTGTGTTTATATAAAATTAGAACGACTTCGTTTGTTTTTTAAAGAGTCGTGTGTACGGTTTAGACTAGGTTTGTGCCCACATAGTGGGTATCGATTCTAACAAAAATATTGCTTCATTATGACACGTAGAGGTTTGTAGAAGTATCTTAGTGTCGATTAAGCCTAACTTAACCTTTACCAAAATATTTAAGTTTAATGGGTTTTTTAGGCCCTGTTAGCCATGATAATTTGAACACTTAATTCTCAATTGTTGCAATATAAAGACATACCATATGTGGGACTGTGCTTTGTGTAGGTTGGCGAATTGTGGTTTCGTGTGAAAACAAATCACTTCGGAAATTCCCGAAATTATTTTTAAAAGTATGATATTAGTTAAGGTCAAAATAATAAATCTAGGCCAGATAGGCCTTCTTTTGTCCAATTAAACAATAAATTGTTAATTGTACTATACATCCAGTGGCGTTGCGATGTCGGGTGTCACCCGGTGCGGCACTTAATGGTGTTACCTCCCCCCCCCCCAGAAGTGTAGCGACCCGGGGACAAACTTTCAATTTTCGATTTGCACCCCCCCCCCCCCCTTCTAAATTTCGATTTGCACCTCTTAAAAGACTATTTAACACTCGAATTAATCACTTAATTAGGTGGAATTATCATATTTTGCTTTTTTTGCCTTGGTGTCCCCCCCCCCCCCCCTAAATGTCTCAAACTCGAGACATCTGACCATCAGCTTAATCGACTCGACCACGCCGACCCTTTGTCGAAACGTCTAATTTCGTAACTATAATTTGAGTTTCGTCGATGCTTGTGGATATTCTAATAGAGTTACAACGTCTCTCTTGGCTAAAAAAAAAGCTTTAAATGTTGCACTTGTTTTACCCCACACCTCAATGTTACATGACAACATGGGGGAGGGTGGGGGCTGACGGAAAAATGCTGGTTTGCCGCAAGAAACAAAACCTTGTGGGCCGCCAGGATTGATGCTGCATTATCATATTTGTTCTTTGATCTATTTTCAAACATTTGTTTATTTAATTTACCTTTCTGGTTTGTCGTTTTTTTGTTATTATTGTAAATTACAGTTTGTAAAGTGTCCCTTGACTTTGTAGTCATCGGTCCTCAGATTTCGATAAAAGTAAATCTGAACAATGAAAATTAAATTTAAGACTGGAAGAGGCGCTGTTATTTTCCTTGCTGCTAGGACGTCACCAGTGTTTTCCCCTGACACCACCAACGGTATATGACGTCAGCCACCACCAACGGTCTATGACGTCAGTCGTCACCAACGGTCTATGACGTCAGCCACCACCAACGGTCTATGACGTCAGTCGTCACCAACGGTCTATGACGTCAGCCACCACCAACGGTCTATGACGTCAGTCGTCACCAACGGTCTATGACGTCAGCCACCACCAACGGTCTATGACGTCAGTCGTCACCAACGGTCTATGACGTCAGTCGTCACCAACGGTCTATGACGTCAGTCGTCACCAACGGTCTATGACGGCAGCCATTACCAACTGTCTATGCCATTGTCCTATCGGAGGCTTGAAATTAATGTAAAAACTTTAATTGGCCTATGTGGCATATAAGCCATGGCGCTAGTGTTTGCTAAATAATTATTGTGCAATAACGAAACGTAACTTCTACAATCATGATATAGATCTAAAGATTGGAGCATTAAAAAAAACTAGTTTGAGTTCTGTACCTATTTATATATACCATTTCATACACTTTCTAAGGTCTATATCAAGATAAGACAGTTATAAATTAAAGTTTTATTTCATAATTTTCATAGATCCCACTAAAATTATTTATGGAGCATAATAATAGAACACCTTAAACAAAACAATGACAAGGTTGTGTGTTATTAATTATTATGTGTAACATGTATACTCTAAAATACCACAATAACTAACAATTGTTTTTCAATTAAATATGAAACACATTGTTAATTATATAGTGTACATATGATTGTATTAAAAATCCCTATTATGACAAATTTATTGTACTCAGCACGTCATCTACCTTCTTAGACCTGCTTATAATATTTATAACATTATTTTTGTTTACTCATTTTTACTTTCTCGTATGTACGACGTATAGAGAAAGTCTTGTAATCGTGCAAAAAAAAATATCGAGATTTTTATAAATCTCGACGTTTCACACCTCACTGATACGGAAAAACATAATTTTGCAATCTTGTCCGTATGTCTGTGTGGCTGTGTGTGTGTGTCTGTCTGTCTGTGTGTAAACATGATAACTTGAGTACCGTTACAACTAGGTTGATGAAATTTCATACATAAGTATTTTATCAAAATCGTAGATCCGTATCAACTTTTGAGCGATTTCCGATAACCGGAAGTGGTACTTTTTCTACTTTGAGTTTTTCAAAAGCCTATAACTTGAGTACTATTTCAGATAGATAAATGAAATGTCACACGTAAGTAAAAGATCTAATCCTCTACCTTCTATCAAATTTTGAGTAATTTCCGTTTACTGGAAGTAGTAATATACGCTATTTCCGATTTCTCAAAAAACGCTTGTAAATTTATAAAGTTCTAATAATATTCCTCACTATTATGCACATTTTGTTTTGGCGTTCGCTTGGTGCGCAATTCTTTTTTCTATGATATTCTATTCTATTTTAAAAAGTTTAAGTATTTAAAATGGATTAAAAATCATAACTATATCCCGAGTTCCCATCCCCTGTTGTTTTATATAAGAATATTCGAGAAAGTTTAGGGGAGATCACTCCCGGTTTGTTTTTCTTCTGAAATTTATTTCAGGTCTAGCTATAAGCCCATACATCCTCAACCCACCCAACCGAACTAATTCTAGGAAAAATACTAAGGATAAATAATCATTTTAAAAAAAATTATTACAATTAGCTCTACATTTTGACTTGATCATAAATGTTTACAGTTTTATGTTTTTAAGACAATTCTAGTTATCTTTCAGATTGAAAACTTCTTTGATTTTATAGCAGCAAAAAAGTAAGTAAAAATCCGTCTTCCTCTTCTTTGCGTTTAAAATCAATCTCAAAAGAACTTTACTGCCACACAATAAATGTACGTTAGCTACAAAACTAGAAAAACCCTTCACGATATTTAGACGTTGAGAATCGGTTTCATTTGGAGCTTCTTTATCCATTAGACTTCCAATAGAGCCTGAAGAAATTTGATCAATAATTTCGTCATTATGTTCATTTGTTGGCTCGTCCTGTACTCGTAAAATTATTTGAACTGCATCATCGGTGTCACAATCACTAAAAATCATAAGACTCACACAATAAACTCCCTCAGTAGGGGCAGTGAACTCTCCGGTATTGGGATCAAAGTGGTCGCCATTGTTAAAAAGTACACGAGATAAATATTGATTCCTATCTTCAACGCCAACTTCTGCAGCAAAACCTAATGATGACGTAGTAATCATTTCTTCTGTTTAAGAAAGGATTTGAAAGAAAAACAGTTGTTAAATAAATAATCGAATTGAAGTACGCATCATGATAAGTATAATATCTTTTGTCTTCTGATATAAACATATCGACTAAAAAACACGAAGTAAACAGAGCTAAAGTAGCGCTTCAAAAGTGGGAATGTAAGTGATAGTACTTAATCAAGATGTATGTGCGTGAGGTGGGGGTTGGGGCGGGTTGGGTTTGAGCTGATTCCTTTAGAAATAACACAACACACAGCTTTAGTGAAAGTAGTATCAGTAACGTGTCCTATGCACCACGAACCAGACAAGTCACCGGTAGCAGGTTTAAACACTGCACTAGTGGAAGTTTTGTGTAACTGCGACACACACGGACAGCCGTTAAGCCAATATCACCTAACAAAAAAATGTTAGACTGTTGTGCCCCCTTCTCCGATGAAACACGAAAAACTAGTGTTTGTAGAATGTTACGCAATATATTCTTCATTGCCGTAAAAATTATAGTTATTGTTATTTCTAATCGTATCCGAACTCTGTTTATTCCTACGCACAACTGAACAAGACAGCATGGCCCGTAATTCTTCTTTTACTCACACACACACTCTCTCTCTCCTTGTCTCAAGGATATATATATATATATATATATATATATATATATATATATATATATATATATATATATATATATATATATATATTTATATAAAGGAAGAATGTCAAAAGGTTTTGACATTGCCAACACAAAGCTACATTTACACATTCATATTTTATGACAAAAATAGCTTAGCTTACCCAGGGTAGTTATTTTATCATTTAACTGGAAGGAAAAATAAAGTGAATTAGAACTTAAGTAGCACACAATGACTTACTATATATATTTATAAATATATGAATTAAATCATAACCAAAAGCAATTGTCATGGACGGCGTGTTCAAATGCTAGATCGTTTGGATGCTGGCCCGAAGGTCTCGAGTTCAAAATCTCGGATGGGATTTGTGACATTAGGACATCGACCCATCTCTGATTGGTACGTGATTTATGTTGGGGAAAGTAAAGGTCAAGAAACATATGAACTCTACTTTATCTACCCAATAAAAGCTAGCTCTTTAGAGGAACTCTTCTCACTTACTTAAAAACATTTATGAAATAATGTATTGACTGCTAAAAAATCACGATTTCATACAATTAGGCATCAGGCAATTCTCTAAAACGTGTTACCTTAAGGTAAGCTTCATCCCTTGTTAACGAGAGTTTGTTCACAAATTGTTTCACTGAATCCAAAATGTGATATCTTTTTGCAAGCACTTGACACATAGCTCCAAACTAAAATATACATTTGTTTATTCCAATAATAAATTGAACAAAGTTTAATTATCTATATCAATATGAATTTAGAACTAAAACAAATACATTTAGATTGATTATGCTGCTTAATTTAGCATTCTCTCACAGTCGTTCTTAACTTGGGTTCCATCGAACCTAAGGGGTTGGGTGAGTTAGTCTCAGGAGTTCGGCTAAGGTAAAGATACGCATGACTCATATGATCGGATAGAAGTGTTTGGTGAATACATATATGAAGTTGATGGGGCTAGGTACCTTGAAAAAGCCCTGGTCTAGCGTATGTGTTAAGATTTTATGTCTAGAAAATAAATTGTTCAAATGACAGCAACAATTTGTGTTGTGCTTAAATTCATAGAGATTTCCTCACGATCATAAACTCTTATTGTATTTAGAAGAACAAGATTGTGTTCAATTTATTAACCACACAATCCTTCTATATCTTCCAAACCAATACTCTTTTTCCTTCATCATAACACTTTTTCATGGTTCACAAATATTTTTAACCAATAATTGACTCTCTTATGATAGCTGTCACGCAGAATTCGAACAAGGAAAACATGGAGAGGAAACGTGCTAAAGAAGGCGGAAAAGATGAGAATGTGGGAACAGTTTTTAAAAAAAGCAGGAGACTGGAAATATATCAGAGGCCCCGTACTCCACAAAGAATGAAATGGAAAATAACCATTATTATAAAGATTTTAAAATATTTGATAATAATTTTACCTTCATCTTCATTTCCACATTTTTATGATCGAAATTCTCTAGCTGTGAAGAAAACTTTGACTGTTTTTCTGACATTTCTTTAACTAATGATTCACTGTCATTTAATTTTTTTGAAAGTTTTTGAAGATTTTCTTTAGTTTCATGTATTAGCTTCTGATTGCAATTAATTATTTCGTTAACTTCTTTTATTGATGCTTTAATTTGCTTTGCTTTATCGGATTGTGTAGTTATTAATTCAGTTTGTACCTCAATTTTTTCAGTCAAAATTTTTATATTTTCCTCTAACTCATCAATCCGCCTTTCGTGATTTTTTGAAATCTTCATTTGAGATTTCCGTTTAACCTCAACATTCTTTTGTTGCTCACTTAGCGTTTTGAAATCCTCTTCTAACTTCTGATATTTCTTTTCAAGGGAGTCAGTTTTTATATCGGCTGTTTCTATTTTTTGCAAAACATTCTGTAGTTGATCTAATGTTACTGCAGTTTAAAAAAAAAACAAAAACGTTAACAATGTAAATATATTACAATTAATACGTTTCTGTAAAATAATAATAACATTACCATACTCTTACTATAATATTTTACGTTTTATCTTCAGTTTATGTTTTTTTATAGATCTTCAGCATCTGTCAATTATCATATTACTAAGTATAGCCCAATGTTATATCGATCGATGAATGTATGCCCCACGTATCTTACTTCTATAATATTTTAATCATATTTATAATAAAATATAAATAACTTAAAAAAATATATATTTATCTACATATTTATCGATTAATAATTTAGTACAAAAAAATTGACATTATTTTAATCACGATCATTATTTCTAATACCATAATTAACTGTAGTGTGCAAGACGTAAGGACTGGCAGTTTGAGAACCACTCGAAGAATTTTCTGCTTTTTCACTATCGTCATCAAGGTGATAATTTTCTGAAATATAAAATACATATTCAGTAAATCTTTTAATATTCAAAATAATAATATATGCGTCTTGCAAATTAGAAAGCTTTTTTGAAGGGAAAGTTATAGAACGTTGTATGGAGGGAGGGGAAATAGTGTTTGTGTGTTGGGAGAGTTATAGAACTTTGAGTGAAGGGAGTGTTATACAACGTTGCGTGTGGAAAAGTTATACAACTTAAAGATCCCAATGAAAAAATTAATTAAATATATGATTCCTTAGGCTTTCTCAGCGTTTTTTAAATAGGTAAATCTAGTGGTGTCATAATGGGAAAGCAGAAGGGTTTAATTAGTGCAGCTTTAGCAATGTAGGGAGAAGACCAAGTAAAAACTGCAATATGTTAAAGACTCGGATCTGATATGGTTGTAAGTTATATATATATATATATATATATATAGTATATATATATATATATATATATATATATACACACATATATATATATATATATATATATATATATATATATATATATATATATATATATATATATATATATATATATATATTGGTTTATAAATAAATATATAGTTATACTTAGAATTGTAGAACAAATATGTAAAGTTGAGTTTTCGATTTCCTCTAATTGCTGCATCATTTCTAAAAAGCTCTTTTTGCTTCCGTCTTTTTCTATCATCCATGAGTTGCATTCATCAATGGACTGTAAAACCAATTTTTTTTTCCTTGATCACATATTTCAATATTCAATATTATAAAACTGGAATGATCAAATAACTGCTATCTTGTTACTTACATTGTTAATACTATTTAACATAGGAGTTAATGCATTTCTTTTATCATCCAGGTTTTTCAAGTAAAGTTGTAAGGCCTTTTTTTGGATAGGTGAACACATCTGTAGAATACAAATATAAATTTCAGAATTTATTATATAATAAATATCAGTATATAAGTAATATACATAAGTATATAAACAAAATATATCTGTATGTAAATAATATATATAAGTATATAAACATTGTATAAATGTGAAGGTTTTCATTATTAATGTATTATTTGGTAGTTCAACACACTCAAGCACACAATTCAACATTGTTTACTTAGTTTATAATTAAAACAATTTTAGCATTAATGGGCTAATTTTAAGTTCGACATTTTTATAAATTGTTATCATTTTAAACAAAAAACACACAATTCATCTTTCTTTATTCACTGCTAACTAATTAACATATTTTATTTTTCTCAATTTAAATACAATTTCGTGTTGTTGAGAAAAAAAATGGATCGCGTAATTTTTATTACATTTTTGCTTGTGACCTCGAAATTACTACAGAATCGTTCATAAAATTGTCTACATTAATGTTATTTTGGTTATAATTTAAGCAATGCTATTAGATCTGCTGAGCTGTGTATCAATACAAAGATAAATTATTGAAAAACTGTCTTCTTTGTCAACAATTCATAAACTCTTAACGTACGTTAAAAGTTAAAGGGAATCTGGTAGAACTAATGATAGGTTTTGAATATCGTTGTCTGTAAAGCTAACACCTTGATTTTACACCTATAAGTCATATTTAGTTAAACGTAGTATGAAAATACTTAAACAACAATAGCTGAGTGTACATTACCTAGAAATACTATATTAATTGTTTTTTAATCGTCAAGTATACGGTTTAGGTTTACGACTACCTGTTAGGTATCGATACTAGAAAAACTGTGCTTTGACATGATACTTTGACCTGTTTAGTAGTATCTTAATGTCCAATGCGTAGGGTTGCGCTTGAGATTTATTTTTAAACCTCATTATTGTTTGATATCAATTTTAATTTTAAAAATTTTTTGGAAGCCAAAACATTTTTTTTGAGAAGAAAAAAAACGCGTTTATTATAGCAAGACCTTTAATTTTCTATTAGTTTATCTAAGTTTTGGGAATATCATTAAATGAATTTTATGCAACCAGACATTAGTTCTTACATTATCTTTCGCTACTTTGCACTCAGCAAAATGAACGAATGTACCGCAAATTGAAAGTGCAAACACTAAACATTTATTATTATAACTGTTACATTAATGAAAAAATAATCTAGGTAGATTGGTCTATTCTGGCAGCCATCATTGCCCAGTCGAAGCTTCAAAAAGTAGGTCAAACTACAATCTTACATTATGTAAAGTCTAACTTAAGCTTAGCTAAATTATATAATTGATAATGCGTTTTATTAGGCCTTCTTAGCAATACTAATTCGGATAAGTATTTCAAACTGCAGTAAAACATAGACTTACCTTATAATTTTTTGTTTTGACTATTCTAAAGTAGGCTAGCAATTTTTTGATGTTCCTTTTGACAACAAATTACTTCGGGAATTCAATAAAGCTATTTTAAGTAACTGGTGTAGTCCTATTTGTACGAATTCTTGCTGACTAATTAACAGTTATTTTGACTGGTTTCGCATTTTTATATCTATTTACTCTATCGTGTACTAAATAAAAAGGATCTATTGGAATCTTGCAAAAAATCTAAATCAATATTTAACAAATTTTGACGATCTACACCCTTCAAGATAAAGAAAAAACATAGTTTTATCTCCCATCAGTTAGGTTATAAACACAATAACTATCAATTAGGTTGAAAACAATTCATAAATTTGTATTATATCAAATCCGATGAAAGGAAGTGGTACTTAATCAACTTACGGTTTCTCTAAAACTAAGAACGTGAGTACTGTTTAAGTTGGAAGAAATATGACATCGTGACAAAAAGCTAGACCCCCTCTCTAAAGTGACGTCACACTTCAGCTTACAAACCCCCTTCCCAATCTTATCAAAATTGCAGTAGAATTTTTATTTAAACTTTTAAACATTGATATTTTTCTAAAATCTTGTCTGAACTGTCAATATAGAGTATTTTAATCAATTTCCTATTACAATTTTTAAAACTGTTTTGTAAAACGCGAAATGGCAGATACAATTCATTTTCTAACATTGCTTTTTTATAATGCAAAAGTGTTACGTCACACTATCTGAACCCCTCCCCCTCATCACACACCATCACAAAATTACGGACCCCCCTACTAGTGTGATGTTATTTATGGACGACTGGTTTTCTATCAATTTTTGATCGATTTTCACGTAACAGGCAGTGATATTTCACACTAGATCTATTTCCTTGTGCTGTTTTACAACCAAAAGCGGTACTTTATTGTCATTTTGGTTTTTAAAATACTGATACAATGCGAAACTTTTCATGTTGGTGACGAAGTTTCATACTTAGGTATCTTACCTTAATCTTTTGTTTATGTTAAAGCGAATGATTTCCGTTGATCAAAAGTATTTCATTAAGCATTTTCCGTGTTCTCACAAAGCCCATAAGAATTTGATAATTGTTTTATTACTTTTGGTCAGCGATTTTTTTATGTGCGATTCTATTCTAAGTGCTGAAAATAGAGCAGACAATTTGTGCTTCATGATGGGGTATTAAGCTCTATTTTCGATTTCTCAAAGATATTCAGAATTTTTGGATTATATTCTCATAAAGCAAATTCGAAGAAGTTTTCACTTCTAATTGTTTTTAACATATAATCGTTTTTTCCACAAAGTTCTATATTTCTATAGCCTGCTTGCATTGAAAGTGACTTTTCCTAATTATTGCCTAATTGCACGGGACGTGCCAACCCCTTCAATAAAGTATGCGAGAAAGTTAATATAATAGATAAATGTTACATATTCCTTTTTGTCAGATTCCGTTCATGTTAAATTTACTTCCTAATTCAAATTTTTAAATTTTTTTGTTTAATGACTATTAGTCATTTATTTATATAATCGTTTCATCCTGATTTTTTAAGTTTTAAATTTGAAAGGTTGTGTTTGACGCGTGTGTTGCAATTAACTGTGCAATAATGAGACGTCAGATCTACTATGACCGTACAAAGAGACGCATAAAAAATTAACAAAGTATGAGTTATGAACTTCTTTTAATATTTGTTTTGCTAAAATCCTAAACACAATTAGAAAATATAAACGATAAATAAAGATCCATTTTGAAATTCTCAGATATTCAACTATAACTGTTTATATGGAACACGATAATAAAACAGGTAAAATAAAATCTATGATTTTCTAACGGGTAAGAATAATAAATTATTATATCGCCCTTAAATGTAAAACAACAATCCTTATTTTATAAATATCATTTAACCTAACAATTGCAAAAATATACTGTATATTACACACAAAAAACATGTGTGGCTGTTTACAAATAGATCTTCGTGGTGCTTTAACTAAAAGTGTTTACATTTATTTGTTTGCTTTAGGTTAATTCTAGTCGTCTCCGTTATTGATTTTATAGCAACAAAAAAATATTAAAAAATCTTTTTTATCGTTCGCATCTCTTGAAATAAATCTCAGAAGAACTTTATAGCCAGCGTATAAAGAAACATTTGCTACACAACTTAAATAGCCCTGTTGAATAGTTAAACGTTGAAATTCTGTTTCATTGTCATCATCAGTATTAGTTTGACTGCCATTAGACCCTGGAGAAACTTGATCATTACTTTCATCATTTGATTCTTTTGTTTGCTCTCCTGTAGGTACCCGTACAATTATTTGAACATTGTCGTCAGTGTCAAAATAACCAGTTATCATAAGACTCACACAATAAACCCCATCAGCAGGGGCAGTGAACTCTCCCGTGTTTGGGTCAAAATGGTCGCCGTTGTTGAAAAGTACATTAGAAAAATCTTTGATCACTTCTCCTGAAGGGTGCATAACTTCATAGCCTAATTGGGCAGCAAATCCTATCGGTGACCTTTTCATCGTTTCTTCTGTTTTTTAAAAATGTAGATAAGAATTAATTTGTTAATAAATACATAAAAGATATAATTAATGCAGGTTTAATAATAAATATATTGTCCCTTGTCTTTTTTAAAATAAACAAATCGACAAAACAACATGAAATATACAACGTTATTTTATAACCCTAGTAAATATCTTTTGTTTACAGTTACATCCGACTGAATAGGTCGAGAAAATATGGTCCTTAAATGCTCTCTCTCTCTCTCTCTGTCTCTCCGTACACACACACACATATATAAATATATATAATGTCAATGAGGTGTAGTGTTAAAAAGTTTTGAAATTAATGTCATAATTCTACATCCACGCTTTATTATAATAACTTAACTTACCCAGTGTAGATATTTTATCATTTAGCTGGGGACATATGGATGTGACATTTAATAAATTCATTGCAACACTTGCCACAATGTACAGTAATGACACTGATAAAATTACGATTTCATACAATTAGGCATCAAACATGTCTCTAAAAGTTATGTTACCTTAAGGTAAGCTTTATCCCTTGATAAAGTGAGCTTGTTTATAACTTGTTTTACTGAATCCATAGCGTTGTACCTTTTTGCAATCACCTGACACAGGGCTTCAAACTGTGAAAAAAACCGCTACGTTTGATAATTTGAATAATCGTTTAAAAAGGACTAATTATCTATAGCTCTATTCATAAAATAAAGCTGATATAAATGAATTTAGAATATTTTTGCATTTTAATTTTCGACCTAAGTCCTTTATTCAACGTACTTAAAAGATGTCTTAAAATAATTACTCAATTTCTTTAATTAAAGTTAGAGTTTTGGTTTTAGAAGTATGAAGATTCTTCTAAACTCCTCAACACGTCTAGAATAATATTTTTTTTTTCGCTGTATTAACCGCAAAACACTACTGTAACTTCGAAACATAAATATTGTACTTAGTTTTTCTTAACAAATGTTCATGTGTGCTTACTACATGGTTTTATGACAATAATAATCTATGATATTATGAGTTTAATGTATTTTAAAATTCTCTCACTTTCTTCTCCAGGTTCATATTTTTATTTTCATAATTCTCAAGTTGTGAGGAAAACTTTAAATCCTTTTCTGATATTGCTTTGATTGATGCTTCACTACGATTTAATTTATTTAAAAGTATTTGATGATTTTTCTCTGTTTCATGCATTCGCTTTTCATTGATTGTACAACATTTTTTAACTTCTTTCATTGATTCTGTTATTTGATTTGTTGTATCCGATTGTGTAGTTGTTAATTTAGTTTGTGCGTCCATTCTTTCATTCAAAGTTTTCACGTTTGCCTCTAGTTCATCAATTTGCTTTCCGTGAGATTTTGATTTCTTGATTTGTGAGTTCTGTTTAATCTCAAAACATTTTTGTTTTTCATTTAATAACTTGAAATCCTCTTCTAACTTCTGATATTTTCTTTCAAGCGATTCCGTTTTTGCGTCGTTCAATTCTACTTTATGCAAGATAATTTGTAATTAATATATTGTATCTAGATTATTATATAAATAACAAATTGTTAAATTATTTTTGAAGTATATTTAATATCGCACAACTAATTAATAGTAATAATAAGTTAGAATAAAACAAAACACGGTATCACATTTTTAAACCTAGTATGTGTTATATATATATATATATATATATATATATATATATATATATAGGCCTATATTTAAATAAATGTTTATATAATTTTAAGCATCTATTAATTAAAAATGTTATACCATATTTATTGGTAGGTTTGATACTTTGGAACACGTCAGGGTAATTCGCCCCACCAGGGCTTGTTGGTGTAGAAATATCTGTCTGCGTTAATTCATCAGCATCATTGTGACTTTTTTCTAGAATTACACATTATACATGCATGCTAAATTTGGCCTAAAACAGAAGAGACTCAACAGTTTTACAAAAACTAGTGAAGGTTTCAAAAGTAAACTTTACAAATATTAGAAAAATACTTATAAATTGAGAAAGTATCTTATTAAACCTTTTCAAATAATTACATGATGTTGTTTGTCTATTAAAATAATAGAAAATAAAAGTTTTTTTACTCAGAAAAGAAGTGTAGATCTGAAAATTTATATTGTTTATTTCTTCCAATTTTTGCATCATTTCCAGAAATGTTTTTTGGCTTCCATCTTTTTCTTTTATCCATAAGTTGCATTCATCAATAGCCTGTTATATAAATTGCGGAATTTTATAACTATTTAAAAAAAAAAAGAAAACCTGAAAAAAATAAAACTTCAACCGTTTTAAACTCCGTGTGTTACTTACTTTACTCGTGGTATCTAGCATAGGAAGCAAAACATTTCTTTGATCTTCTAAGCTCTTTATGTATGGAGCTAAAGCTTTCTTTTGAAGAGGTGAACACATCTAATAATTATATAGATGTGTTAATTTGTTAAATGCATATATATATATAAACATATATATATATATAAACACACACACACACACACACATATATATATATATATATATATATATATATATATATATATATATATATATATATATATATATATATATATATATATTATAATGTGTGAGAGAAAAAAGAGTAAGGAATACTATTTTAATATCATTAAGTACACTGCTGAACATGGGGTAATTTTTTTCTAGACATTCGTTTAATCACAACAGATCAATCAAATCGTAGAGGGGAAACGATAACTTTAAAAATAATATAAGGAGATTATATTAAGGAGATTTGTTTTTAAAATGTTAATTTGATTTGTTTCTTTAGATTTCATTTGTTGTCGCATATTGCTTTTTGCTAATTTATCGTGTAATTAAATTCTATAATTTTTTTATCAAATTATAATTCTTTTAAAATACTTTTTTTATTTAAGTATAATCATGTAACTGAAGTCTGTCGCGATAAAAATGCGTTATTGATTAATCAATTGCTTGGAGTAAATAAATAAGCTACCTTAAAAGTAATAGACTACAGTTCTGTTTATGTATTTGTCCAATAGTTATCGTGAACTAGCACTGGACGCGTTATTTCGGGAACTTCCATAAATATTTATGTCTAATTTTTGTCTCATTTTTAAAAAGAGATCTTCCACACTTACTGAGGGCTAATTTTTTAGAAGTAGGTCTTCTACACGTACTGAGGTCTAATTTTTTTTAGAAGGAGCTAGTATTTCTTTAAATAGTTTTTAATATTTATCTACCCATATAAATTGACTATATCATAATGCAAATAATAATTATGTTTAGGTTAGATTATGTTTAGTATTTACAGTAACTGTGAGAGATCAGTATCAAATGGAGGAGGAAATGGAACTTAATTATATTGAATTTTCATAAGAGTTTCGCCTAAATTTTTTAAAACCTTTAAAATTACATTTTCCTAGATTCATCCATACATAACAGTGTTAAAAAATGAAGTGTTGTATTTTATCTACGGCTTTTTAATTTAAAAAAATCATTTTTACATCAATTAAATATTTATACTAAGTGGCGTCCATGAATGAATTCATGCTTTTAGCGAAGAGGAGAGGGGTCCATAATTTTTGTGTGGCTATGTGTGATTAGGTGGATGTTTTGGAGAAGGGGGGTTTCCATATAGGGTGACATCACACTTTTGCATTTAAAAAAAAATAGATATTGAATTTTAGCTGTTATTTCGCGTCGTTGATAACTGTTTTTGTAAATTTTAATAGAAATGGATTTAGCTCAGACAATATTTTAGAAAGAAATCGACGTTTGAAAAAAAAAATAACTGCAAATTTGATGGGGGTGGGGGTGAGGTGGAGGTAGTTAAGTTGTGAGGTCATTTTATAGAGTGGTCTGTTTTTTTCTGACAATATGTGACGGAGGGAAGGGTGGGGGATGAAAATACAGGGGAAAAAACGTGACTTCCTTCGTGAATGACACCCAACCAGGAAGTAAAAATACAACATCAGCAAAACATATTACACTTAGTAGATTTACAGTTTCAAGTTCAAAGTTGAATATGAAATCGAAAGGACAAGAACTACACAGTATCAAAATTTACGTCTAACAATTTTTTATATCTTTCATCATTTTAACATTAACTAAGACAAGACACAACTGGATTAAACCTACCTTTGTATCAGTATCACTAGGGGTTACAGGTTGTGATTCACCTTTACATTAAAATCATTTTGGGAATTTCCTAAAGATTACGTTGAAAGTGAAACCAATGTACAGAATTGATTTCTCCTCTCACTGGATGAATCACAAAAAATTGCAGTGGAATGGATTATAGTACTTAGCTAACAATGTGTTTTTAAAAATATTTAATTAAATCCTTATCATAATTCATTAGAAAATGGAACGCTTAACATCCTCGGTTTTAAAAGTGGATTTAAAGATATTTAGGAAAATAATATACAGAGTGTACTTTTTCTGTAATTAAAATCCGGGACTAAATATAATGTTTTTTATGGACAATTTTTTTTAAAATAACCGAGATAATTAAAGTATTTGTTGAAATAACAGTTTGATTCAGGTTTAATAGAGCGTACTATTCAGATCTTTAGGTAGTTAGGTGAGATTAGCTTCAAACACAGGGTATAGTGAGTTTGTGAGTTTATTTTGACCCCGTGTGTTTATGTATGTTATCCCCATGGTAGAATGTTGTAACAAAATCAGAGGGAACGTGGGTATTAGGGGAGATTATTGACGGTTATTATGACGAGGGTATTAGGATAGATTATTAGGACGAAGGAATAGAAGGAGGATTTCCAGAATATAAAGGAGTTGTATAAATACAATAAACCTGTTGGGGTGTTGTGTTTTGGTTGTGCTTTAGGCAGTATGTAGAGAACGAAAGACAATTTCAAAACTTACAACACATTACAATTGAACATGTCTATTGTTGACTATTTTGTGGTTGTTTTTTTTTTTAATTTTTCTATAATCATTCTTTCAATAAATAAATAAAATTGTATCTACTGAATCAATGGCAAGTATTACGATGAAACAAATTCGGGCTAAGCTGCTTTAAAGTAACGAAATGTAGTTTAAGTGAAAACTTAAATTGGTTTTCTAGCATTGTGTCCGTTATTCCTTAAAATATATTGGCTTTTCGTAAATGGCTCAAGATATACTTAAAATATAAAGTCTAAAATGTTTTAGCTGACTACTTTTATGAATAAAATAAAGTTTATTAAGATTTAGCAAACTTGATCGCCGTATATCAGAAGCAATACAGAGCTTACAATGGCATGGTGTGAGGACCTCACCAAGAATTAGCACTTAGCGCTAAACGCCCTATTGTTTCTCCTAACCATCGTGTCAAACTAAAATGGTGAAACAAGTTAATGTATAAATTATCTCTAATTAAAACTTATAATAAAGTTAATGGTTTCTTCTTTGTAAAATGTAAAGCGCCTATTTTTGACAGGTAGTCAGCGGGGTTAGCGTGTTCGAGTCGATAAAGCTCATGGTTGCTAAACCAAAAAAGTCTCGAGTTCGAACCCTCAGGCAGATGAGGCTCGTTCGCTGGGGACAGCCACTCTTCTAGGAGAGACAGCTCCAAAATAAAGCAATTGCTGCCTTGTAGTTTGTTCTTGGTTGGGCAAAGGCTATGGAAGCAAATCCAAAAAGAAAAGCAGGCTGAAATCGGAGTCAATGGCCTCAATGGCACATAACCAGTTTACACGTATCCTTAATTGCGATGGAGGCGTGGTCGAGTCGGCAAAAGCTGATGGTTGATAAATTCGAAAAAGTCTCAAGTTCAAACCCTCTGGCAGAAACGGCTTGATCCCTTCCAAATATAAAAATTAAAAGCGAAGAAGAAGAAAGAAGAGACAGGTAGATCAACAGCTGGGGAAATAATTTTTTTTAAAAATTAACAAAAAAACAGACACGAAAAAGATTCCATACAACACTTATATGATAGAACTGATAAAACAAATAAAAGTAAAAAGAGTCATCAATATTTTAATAGTTTGTGATTTACAAATCTACTTTATTACTTTATCACTTTTATAAATATAAAATTAAACATACCATGAATTTATTTCTTAAAATTCATACAAGATTATCCAATAATATCACAGAATGCTTGTTTTGAATATTTAGTTCAAAACAATTTCAAATTTTATGTTTTTACAAATCATTAAACGTTTCTATGTTTAGTAAGTTTGCAGGTTTTAAAGCAATAAACACATTTGCTATAATATCGCTAAATAAGTCTTGCTCCTTTTTTAGGCTTAAGTGTTTTATTTCTATTTTACGACAATTTTCACCAAACACAATGCGTATCAATATAAAAATAATAATGCAAGGCATTTTGTAAAACTGGTAGGGGTTCATTATTTCATAACGTTTAGTAAACATTCAATTAAGTCAACTTTTATGTTACATTGCATTGTCATCGGGTTTTGATCTACGTGCCTAGTTTGAAAGAAATTGAGTTTGCACATCATTTTTATCCCTGACTAAGTACGACAAAAGACAAAATAACAAGGAATCAAATAAAATAAAAGCTTGTAAAAATAGCAAAACAAATGTCTTCCTTTATGAAAAAATTATTAAAGCATGTTAGTGTCCGTTGATAAATAAGTAAGTTCCCCATCAAACCTGATGGTTCACGGGGCTAGTGAAGTAGAGTTCACTTTTTTTCTGGGCGCTTAGCATATGAAGAGATAGTGTGGTCAGTACTATGCCAAGTAAAGATTCTAATATTAAAATATCTCAACATTAATTGATCAACAATTAGTCACAAAATATGTAAAAGTATTTGTTACAAAATTAATTTAGAGACAGATTTTACAGCAGCATATTCCCGAATGAGCATGCTCTAATGCCTTTATTTTGTCTTAAAATGTACAAAGTAACCAGAACATACTAATTTCTATGATCAATATTTTTATCAATTTTAAATTTAAGTTTAAAGAATAATAGAAAACATTGCGTTATTTTTCGCTAAAAAAATACGTGGTTTGATTAATATATAATATTTAGTCATTTAATTTTAAAATAGATTAATTATAAGCAAAAAATATTGTTTGCTGCCAAATGTAAAATTACAATTAAGAAATTACTGATCGATAATTTTCTTTATTATGATTGGATTTCATTCTCTAGTTATTTCAAATATTATTCAATGCGGTCATGTATTTTATAGCAAGTAAATGTTGCATGAAATTCAATGGTATTAAAACACTCATTATATGCCATGTATTTTAAAACCAATTTATCATCGTGTTCTAAATATATGTTTGTTACAAAACTGTTCCTACCATTTACAATTTGTACCCCTGGTATAACTGTGTCTGTGTCGTCCTCGTCATCATACAGATTTTCTGGAGAGTATTGTACTATTATTTGAACTTCAGCTTGAGAATCATAGTCACTCTTCAGTAACAGACTGATGCAATAAATTCCACTTGTTGGTACTGTAAACTCTCCAATATTCGGGCTGAAGTGGTCGCCAATGTTGAAATGTATGTCAGAAAATTTAGTTAGTACAATTCCAGAACAGGATATCATTTCAAAATATTCGCAAGCGGAAAAGCCTTCAAAACACGAATGGTTATTTTCTTCTGTTTTAGAAAAGAAAAAAAAAGAAACATTTAAATATAGGACAATTAAACAAAATATTTGTTTACCTAAAACCCAATGACAATAATACTTTGAAATTAAAATAAAGTATAATAATCTTAGATAATTCTTATTGTATCCCACTTTTTAAATCACCTGGAAACCTTCTTGAACTAATTTTATACGAAAGCCAAATTTACCCACTTCGTAAGGGTAGATTTTGTATGGTCTTAACTATATCAAAATACCATATTAATGTTCTTTGTAACTGTGAAAATTAAATATCACAAGCTATTAGCGGCGTACGTTCCATGTACACGTGGACAACACTGGTCCCGTAAGAGTTTCAAATTATATGTTTCTTTTCTTGACGATAGTTTAACATATAGCGCTTTTAAGCACTTTTGAAATATGCGTCCTGCTTTTCTACGCTAGGAAAGCTAACAATGAGCAGTCACTTCCACATTACGCTTTCCGTTGAATAGTCTCCTGCATGCGGTCGATTAGTCTCGGGACCCTGAGACTATCGACTAGGCCATAGTTTAAAAAACTAATTACAATCTTTATATGGTTAGCAATTTCTACATCTTTCATTCAATGTAGATCAAATATTTTTTCTTATTAAGAATGTGCATTTAGGTGTCGAGTGCTTAAACTCAAGATACACTGAAAAAATCTTTTAGTAAACGTTGGGTTAGAGTCTATCGTTAAAGCTGTTCCTTGCAGATGTCAATATTGTTATTTCAACACCAACGCCTGCTTCCAACCCCTCTGAACTTCACACAACAGTCCTCGACTTCGAGTTATGAAGCCGCCTCGCGATATATTTGACATATTAACCAGAGTTTCTTCAAGGCATCTCGTCTCCCGAACTAGATGGATGTTATATAGTAAACATAAACTTTTACTAGTGTTCGCCCCCCCCCCCCCCCCCCCCCACCGAAAAATGTTGACCACCCCCCGAAAATTTCAGGTGCCCCCGGAGAAAAAAGTCTGGATGAAACACTGAGACTAACATGTGGCCGAATGCATAGCATGACATTCATCCAGCCTATTGTTGTTTGGAGTCCATGTATTCATTAATAACATAATTCATGTGTTGATTGCTTGTATTACTTTTTACGTAGTACAAGATAAAACTTAGGCATCAAGCTCCTAGTTTTTAGCTCCTAGCATGTTTTTATTACAAGCATGTTAAAATGTATAGATGAAATTATACTTTAAGATTACATTAGCAGATAACTAACGTTATTTTTATAGTTAGTATTTGAACGCTGTTAACAATATTGACGGTGAACAGTAGTTATATTTTACAGTAAATAACTGAAGGTGTTTTTCTGAAGTAAATTCATAATATTGTAGTCAAACAAAACAATAGGCTTATGACATGTAATAATACTAAAATAAATGATTAATTCCTAAAATAGTTTTTTTTACTTAAAAACTTATTTTTTTTATTTAAAATTAGAGCAATATGTTTATTATTAATATTATAAAAGGGTCTTACCTAATGCAGCCATTTTACTATGCAACTGAAATAAATTAGAGCTTGATGAATTCATTAATACTAAATCGAATCACGCTTTGCAAACATCAATTACTGTCTGATTTTATTCAATATAAACACAAACAAAAACAATAGTGTTGGTAAATTCGACATCAAGTTTTTTTTTCAAAAACAGAATGCCAAAATATGGTTTATTCACAATATTTGATTCAAATATTATTGTCTTTAATTACCTGGGAATAGGCTTCATCTCTGGATAGTGAGATTTTGCTCAAAACATCTTTTACAGAATCCAACATGTGATATCTTTTTGCTAGCATTTGACACATGGCCCCAAGCTGGTAAATAATTATTAGTTACAATTTTTTTTAAAGAAATGGAAGAGAACTACTATTATGAAACTACATTATATACATTATTATTTTAAAATGTTATTTAATTTATTTTTTAAAGCCAATTTATTAGATAAGGCTAGAATAACATGCAAAGCATAACGTTTGCCCAAAACCTTTTAAAATGACTAACTGCACCAGTATATTTTTTTTATAAATGTTTATCAAAGTATTTTAAATTTTACCTTCCACTCCAACTTCGTGTTTTTCTGATCAAATGTTTCCAAATTTGAAGTAAGTTTTAAGTGTTTTTCTGACATTTCATTGATTGATGCGTCACTGTTGTAAACTTTTTTAAAGAGTGTTTTAATATTTTTTTCTATTTCTTGGATTTTCTTGTTGTTCATATTGACTAATAAGTTGGTTTCTTTAACTGATGCAGTGATTTCGGTTGTTTTGCCAAATGGTGTAGTCGTCGACCAAGTATGCCCTTTCATTGTATCATTTAAAGCTTTTACATTTTCCTTCACTTCACCGATCCGTCTTTCGTGAGAATTTGATTTCTTCGTTTGAGACTTTTGTTGTATCTGTAAACTTTTTTGTTCTTCATTCAACATTTTGAAATTCTCCTCCAGCTGTATGTACTTCTCTTCAAGGGAATAAGTTTTTGTGCAGGTTGTTTCAAACATTTGCATTAGACTTTGTAGTTGATTTAATGTTACTGAAGTTTAAAAAAATTAAAACTCTGATAAGGGATGGAAATTAATACCTTTCTTAAAAAAAAATTAAGATCATATTATCATCTTCTATTCCTGTTCATGCCCAGTGCACACGGGGCAAACAAAATAGAGTTCATCAGTTAATCTGTTTCTCTGTTGACTAACGTATGATGTGGTCAGGACCATGCCCAACAGCATAGTTTCCTTTAGGTGTGTTAAGAATCACAGCTGTTCGAACTCAGAAACGTCAGAAGTCGTATGTCATCCAACCGCAATATGAAAATCTGTATTACTATTGTTATGTATTTTTTCCGTTTGCATATTTTTCAAATACAAAGCTATATTTATCTTCAATTGTATGGCGCAATTATTTTTATTTTTTAACATTTTACAATATACGTCATTTTCATTGGGGGGGGGGGGGGTCGTCCATAAACGACTTCACATACCTAGAGGGGAGGTGGAGTTCGTAATTTTGAACTATGTGTAACAATGGGGGGGGGGGGGGGTTCAGAAAGTGTAACAATTTTTGCTTTTTGCATTTTAAAAGATTCTTAAAAGGAATATTTCAATGATTTCAAATATCAAAAACTGCAATTTTAAAGAGGGCTGTAATTTGAGGCGTGACGTCATTTTAGAGGATATGGTCTGGTTGTTGTGGCGATATATGTCTATGGGAAGGTTGGATTTAAAAATCGATAATAGCAAGCTTGAAGTCATTTATGGTTGACCTCTTGGGTTATCCACATATTTATCACTTATTTCTTTATTTAATGCAGAATAATATATCATTATTTCAATAAAAATCATTTTATATATACCATATTTTTCATTCGGGCTGGTAGTTGAGGAAACGCTGGGAGAATTTTCTATTTTATCATCGTCATCATCAGATTTGCTTATTGCTGGAATTTATAGTAATTAAAAAGGAAAATATCATGTACTATTATGTTAAATGAACCGTCGTGAAATAATGCATATAAATGTGTATAATATTTGTGTATTATTATTTAGAATCATAGGTACACCATACAGCCACAGATACGATTACACGTAAATAAATTTAATATTTTCTTGAACAGAATAGAAAAACAATTATGTTTTTAAAAACATAGCTACTGCTAATTCTAAAGATACTTTATATATTTTTATTTAATTTTATCATATGATTTAAACAATTTAAAATTTATACTTAAAATTGTAGAACAAATTTGTAAAGCTGAGTTTTCAATTTCCTCTAATTGCTGCATCATTTCTCCAAAACTCTTTTTGCTTCCGTCTTTTTCCACCATCCATGAGTTGCACTCGTCAATAGCCTGTAAATTAACCCAATTAATTTTTAACTGGATACATTGTTTGAATGATTTCAACTGTTACTAGTGCAAGACTAAAATAATAAAATAGCTGCTTAAAAAATTTCTCACTTGATTAATAGAATTTAACATAGGAGTTAGTGCATTTCTTTTATCGCCTAGGTTCTTCAGATAAAGTTGTAAGGCTTTCTTTTGGATAGGTGAACACATCTGGGGAATTCAATTGTGATACATACATAATATATGTATATATATATATATAAATAAATATATATATATATATATATATATATATACATTTATATAATACATATATACATACATATATAGGCATATATACATATAAAGTAAAAAGTAAAGTTTCCCTTTCAAACCTGACGGTCTGTGGGGCAAGTGAGGTAGAGTTCACTTGTTTCTGTGACCTCGGCATATGAAGAGATAGTGTGGTCAGCACTATGCCCAGCCGCCTTTACTTTCCCTAACTTGAGTTAGGTACCCATCAGAGCTGGGTGGACTCAGGGACGATCTACTGACTAGAACCCGGATTCGAACTCGAGACTTACGGATTAGCAGTCCAGCTTTCCTATATACATATATACATATACATATATACATATACATATACATATATATATATATACATACATATATATATATATATATATATATATATATATATATATATATATATATATATATATATATATATATATATATATATATATATATATATATATATATCGATGGTCTCGGTCGCAAACCGTCTAACTCAAAAAAATTCGATTTTCTTTTTTTTACATAAATCAAAAGCCAGTATGATTCCCCATAATGCCTGAAAATATTAGAAAAATCTGTAGAGTGATTACCGAGATATAATCATTTGAACAAACCGCCTATTATTTCAAGCGCTAAAAATCTCGGCGCAAAACGAATATCGCTATATTTGTCTGTACACTTTTGATCGGGAACGCAGTCGCACGCCGCAATCACACAATTTTACAGCACAGCAGTCACAGTACCTATAGGTAAGGATATTTAAATTAATTATGTTCAGAATTCTATTATATTTTATCATTTTAAAGAATAATAAATAAATAGTATTTGTTTAATACAGCCTATTTCAAGATTTTCAATAACCAAACTGATTTGTTTACAAGTTTTTAGGCTAAAACAATGCTTTGAAACTAGATCTTCATTCTAGAATCTAAATATCAATCAAAACAATATTATTCGCATTATATTTCCACAAGATTGTGCAATAAATGTATTTATTGTTAATTCACTACTAGCTTTAGATTTAGGTTTATCTACGTGTTATGAAATGTTTATATGGTAGGTTACAAAATGTTTGGCGTACATGTTCAACGACATGGTTAGTTGTCTTTAGTAAATGCTTTTGTGATTAATTTTTCAACAGACAAGCCTATCTCAACACACCAGCCTTTCTCAACAGACCAGCCTCTCTCAAGAGACCAGCCTCTCTCAACAGACCAGCCTCTCTCAACAGACCAGTCTCTCTCAACATCCCAGCCTCTCAACATATCAGCCTCTCTCAACAGATTAGCCTCTCTCAAAAGACTAGCCTCTCTCAACATACCAGCCTTTCTCGACATACCAGCCTCTCTCAACAGATTAGCCTCTCTCAACAGACCAGCCTCTCTCAACAGACCAGCCTCTCTCAACAGACCAGCCTCTCTCAACAGATTAGCCTCTCTCATCAGACCAACCTCTCTCAACAGACCAGCCTCTCTCAACAGACCAGCCTCTCAACATATCAGCCTCTCTCAACATACCAACTTCTCTCAATAGACCAGCCTCTCTCAACAGACCAGCCTCTCTCAACAGACCAGCCTCTCTCAACAGACCAGCCTCTCTCAACAGACCAGCCTCTCTCAACAGACCAGCCTCTCTCAACAGACCAGCCTCTCTCAACAGACCAGCCTCTCTCAACAGACCAGCCTCTCTCAACGACCAGCCTTTCACAACAGACCAGTATTAACACAGAAAAGACCAAACTCTCTTCAATGACCAATCTTACCATACAGGAAACTAGAATATCTCAACAAACTAGTCTAACCGTCTAAGACACCAGCAATTCTCAACAGACCAGCCTCTCTCAACAGACCATTCTTACCATACAAGAGACCAGTCTCTCTCTCAGCAAAACAGTCGTAATATACAAAAGACCAAACTCTCTCAACACACCGGTCTCACCAAAAAAGACACCAGCCTTTCTCAACAGACCAGTCGTAACGTACAATAGACCAGCCTCACATAACAGACAATAGACACCAGCCTCTCCCAAAAAGACCAGTCTTACCATACAAGAGACCAGCCGATCTCAAAAGACCAGTCAGACCTATCAAGAATGCGACAAATATTCGTGCACTGTAGTACAACCATGATGCTACTATCTACTTCAAAGTGAATTAGCAGATAGCTGGCAATTGCTAAGCTACGGTTGTAAGATTATGATCTCATCTGTAGCCCCTGACAAGTTGTACAAGAGCAGGAAAAAAAAGATAAAAGCTGTCATATATGAGCACCTAAAAGCAAGTTATAAATTCACATTTTTGTGATGATTTGCCTGATTTTAAAAATATGTTGCCATTTTAATGTCTATTCGTGTGACGTTTATTTAAAGAATAAATTAAAAAATAAATACATTGTTTTTGTTACATTTTGTCAAATAAGTAAACATTAAGTCATTATTAATGTGATTAATGTGTTATGTCTCATTCATAATATATCTGAAAATAAGGTTTATATTTTTACTGCTATCATTCTACAAACCCAGCACCCACAAGATTTAGTAAAATAAACTGTCAGAATAGAAACATGTAATAAATAAAGCATAACCTTCAAACGTTAATAAGTCTAGTGGTAAATACAGCCATAATGAATAAACAGTCGAAAGCGATAAAGCAATATTAAAACATCTCTACTAAGATTTAACTGACCACATAAAGTAGAATAAACTCAAATAATTAAAATATGAGCCCAAAACTATAATCTAAATATTATGAAGTGTTAATTATAACTTAAAAGCCTAAACATAACTAAAACACGTTCATTGGACAAAACGAACGAACGCGGCTGAGACCGAAATTCTCGGTTCAAAACAGCTAAGTCTGCGCGCGCACAGATAGACGGTTTGCACCGAGAATTTTAGACCGAGCAAACCGTCTATCTTTTTAAACCTGCTATAATTTTGTAAATGTCAACAAAACCCATTTTAAAACGCTACAGTATAGTCGGTAGAGAGTTTCTTCACACATATGATTAAAAATAGTTTGTATTAAAGCGATCAACAAAGAAATAATCGGTTTTTTGTCTCTCCTGTAAAAATTTTTGGAGTAAAACGGTTTGCGACCGAGACCATCGATATATATATATATATATATATATATATATATATATATATATATATATATATATATATATATTTATATTTATATTTATATCTATATATATATATACATATACATATAGAAACTGCGATTACAACGTCGGGTCTGTTAATAAATATTTTGACTCGGTTTATATAGTAATACATTTATTGCGTCTATTGATTAATGCTCATTTTATTTTAAACAATTCAACATTTTAAAAAACCACCCACATGCACTAAATACCAAATTAAAATGCTAAGTTTCTCATTTTATTATTTTCTTTTCTCGTGTTTTTCG